TAGCTTACACTTAGCACCTTTGAGCTTTAGACCGTTGTCTTCAAGTCTGGACAGCACCTTATCCAGCCGACTGAGGTGCTCCTCAAAAGTAGAGGAGAAAACCAGCAGGTCATCGAGGTAGAGAACTACTTCTGAGAGGTTCATATCCGCGAATATGAATTCCATTATTCGCTGGAATGTGCTTGGGCTGTTGGATAGGCCCTGCGGTAGTCTGAGAAATTGGTATAATCCCCAGGGCACTCTAAATGCGGTTTTCTCCACAGAATCGGGGTGCACCGCAACCTGGAAATAGCCATGGGCTAAGTCCAGGGAGGAAAAAATCTTGGAGCCGCCCAAAGACTCCAAGGTCTCCTCAATTCTTGGCAACGGGAATGCATCTTTTTGTATTTTGGCGTTGAGGCGACGGTAGTCGATGCACAATCTCAAGTTTCCATCGCGCTTTCTAACTAGCACAACAGGACTCGCAAAGGGACTCTTTGACTTTCGGATTACTTGACGATCAAGCAAATCCTGCAGCAGTCGCCTGACTTCGGTGACGCATGTTGGAACAATTCGCCTATAAGGTAAGTTCACCACAGACTCATCAATGAGTTTAATCTCGTGGGGTATGAGGTTACAGTAACTAAGATCATAGGGATCCATAGAAAAAGCACTTACATGCTTCTGTATTAATTTCGCTGCAGCTACCGCATCAGTGGCATCTAAGCTCTTGAGGCTCAGACCAGGGGGCAATTCAAACGTCGTCCCATCAGGAAAAACGAATACTTCACGCAGCTCAGTGGACTGGACATCTTTCAAGTCCTCCTGTACGTAATGATCAGGTTTCTGCCCGGTCGAATCAGAAAAGACAGGCGGCACATCTATGTCGTCAACAACTGCATGCACGAAGTGTACAGATACTTCCACTCCATCAGATAATGGATCAACAAAAATCTCGTCACTAGCGACGAGTTCACAAGCCAAAGCCACTTTGGTATCAGCAGGAATCACTTACGGCTCAACACTAACGTTGGCAACTAAAATAAGCATGGGACCTTTGCCCACATGCTGGATACCCTCTACTACTTGGCAACCGCAAGACACATCCTGAGAACTTTGCGGAATATCCGGATGATCAAGTGGCGGACATGACGCCACAAATATTGTGTCCGACTGTGGACAACACTCTCCCATCACTCTACACGGAACTTGCACTGCAGTCTCTTGAGGAATGGTCAGAGACTCCCAAGTCCTCACTTCCCTCATCAACTGATGATTAGATTCAGTACGACCCTGTGTCCGTACTGGAGGTTCATTGGATCTGAACCATCGGAGTGCCAGATCCCAATCTGGACCAATCTTAGTTCGCTCAGCATTCCTCAATTTCTGAGCCAATACTCGAAGAATATTACAGCCAAGCAGAACTGGAAACTTATCCCGTCTTCCGCCTGGAGAATCAAGTGAGTCATCCTTAGTCACAAGGAAGACTGCATTGAATGTCTGACCCTGGATACAGACTGGAGCCTCTATGTATCCCTCCACAGGAATGTCAAGGTTGTTGGCTCCCACCAACCTTACAAATTTGCCCACCTGACCCAAATCGCCAGCCCTATGCACTAATTGGTCATGGTAAAGTCTGGAAGACATCAAAGATGTCTCCGCCCCTGTATCTAAGATACAATTTACCGGCACCCCACAAATTATGATTTTCCCAGTAGGACTACTGGCTAGTACTTTATGACGGTCCTTTTCCGTCATTACTTTATCAATTGGTACCTCTGGGGGCTTCTCAAAACTACTGGCCAAAACATTTAGGGTATCGCTAGGTGTGCAACCTGTGGGCGACTGTTCGTCCCCCGTCATAGCGCCCTCTATGACGGAGGAATCACATTTCCCGACTTATCTTTTTCTCTGAGCGGCTTTTGAGCCACAGGATCCGTACTGCGCTTAGGGTCACCCCTTTGTCCATTTTCTTGATTTATTCGTGCATAACACTTCTCGTATGAGTGACCCGTCTTCTTGCAAAAAGTGCATTGTATGCTCGAACGTGTACCCCTTCGGGTACTTGACGCGACCTCCCTTCGGTGGTCTTCCATGGATTCAAACAAGCGCTGCAGCTTGCTGTTCGTTTCTGCTTGATGTTGTACTAAACATCCAACAGCAGCAGAGAGTTGCTGTTGGCTTTCAGTCAACCCAACCAGCAACTCATGTTCGCTCTTACTGCGTTTTTGAGCAGCAGCCACATTGCCAACTGCAGGGCATGACCAGTCGTCTGACTGAGCGTGATCTGTAGATTCCACGTCCCGCAAGAATTCCAATGCAATTTCACGGAATGCGTAAAATGGCATCACTGCATTATCATGGCTAAGTCTTCTCAGCTCTCGCTTTGTGGAGGCCTCTCGTGCCCCTCCTACAAATTGCTCTCTGAGGGCGTTTGCGCGCAACTGTCGCAGCGCTTCCCTTTCTTTAGGGTCTGCCGCCAACTCCATGCGATCATAGATGCGCATTAACGACCGACTAAACTCAGTTAGTGTTTCTCCTTCCAACTGAGTCCTAGCATAAAAGGTGCTATTCAAGGATCTAAGTGATTCGATTGCCCCAAACCTAAGTGTCAACAGCGCAGCTAGCTTCACAACAGTATCACGCTCCCCCTTAGGACAACACGACACCTCCACTTTTGCTGGACCCCCCAGATGGTCTAGGGCCACATCTACTTGTTCTTTTTCAGTTAGACCCAAGGGTCGCAAGTATGCATCAAGATCGCTCAACCATCCCCCTAAAGTGGGATCACCCGACCTCCTTGGTTGGCCGCTAAACTTTGCTAATTTTATAGTTGGAGTGCGCTTTATCTGGAGGTTTTCAAACGCTCCAGCTAGTGTATCAGCTAGCGCGTTGTGAGACTTAGCAATAATATCGGATAATTCCTCAGTGGTGGCCATATTGTTCCACCTGCAACGTCAAACAGCAATACATTGAAATAGCTCCAATGGAACGAAAAATATACGCATGCAGAGTGCGTTGTGCGCGAGACACCGCGTAATCGCACCAGAATCCCTACGCAGGATGCACCGAAATAAGGGCACAAAAGCCCATCAGCAAAATCACAGCACTTAATGTTGCGAGTCACGTGATAGGAGTGGGTGCAGGCAGCCTATAGCTGCAATAAGAAACTACACAAAAATTAGTATAGTGCCAACAGACACTTTTAGGCTATTCGACAGCTGACCAGTATCAATCAGTTTAAAAACCAGTCATATTTACGACATGGGTCACAACAATAATAACATGAGCTCTGACAAAATGTCAGAACATGTGGTTCAACAAGAAAATCAATATCAACCCTAAAAGTTATGTGACCACATGTGTTAGGTTCATTAACCAATATAAAAGCATCACAGTAGGTAAAAGTTACAAGCGTACAATTATGCACAAAACATTTTCAAAATATGCGTGTACTTTATGGGCCACTATATTTTTAGAATTAAACACAATTAGTGCACTAGTTATGTACACATGTACACTATTAATCTACAAAAATTACTCGAAATCAGGTCTCTTCATGCAAGTCGGGGGTTTCCAATAATACTATAATTTCCAAAAATGAAAGCTAGGTTGGTCGCGTGGAAATGGCCTCCATCATGTCTACGACGCCATATTTCTGTAGTGGTCGGCCCTGCTGTCTTATTCAGAGGGGGGAGACTCGTCCACCAGTTAAGGAGGATGGGAGGCAATCACCAAGCGTGGACAATCATCATCGGTTTCTGTCATTAGTTGATTGGTTGATTTATTGATGATCCAGTTGAGATACAATATTTCAATGGAATATAAAAACCATGTACAATGAAATAGAAAAGCAGACGCTGTGTATTAAAGTCTGCATGTCACAGCGTACACACTATACGTACAACACACGTACATGTACCTTCAGTTTGTTTACAATTTCGGTACAAAATGTGTCGAAAGAAATGCCTAAGATTCTCACCCCGACGTCTTCATATCTTTCCTTAAATGACTCCAAAAGCAGCTATACAGCACTTCACTTCAGTTGGTGGGCTGTTCAGATATGGGCCTTCAGATTTTAGCTCGCAAAAGATGGTTTTTGATGTGAATTTGGCTCACATCATACAACGGCATGGTCCGAAGGAAAAGGAACAGGACGTGCCAATCCTGCACGTAGACCACTTACTTCCGGAAAAGCCCGAAGAAGTCCGAAGCACAAAAACCCAGATTTACTTTAGTAAAATATCATATTTCAGGAGTGATCTAATATTATGAGAAAACTATAAATGTATTTTGCTAACTTATACATGCCCAATAAAATAGTGGGAATAAAGTTTGAGAAATTATACGAACTTTTTTGTTGTAACTATGTAGTTGCCGAACGCACTTATCAACCACGAGTCAGTGACGTCATCATGCTTATGGCGCGTACGTAACTTCTTAAAGGGGAATTCCCAGATCCCTACAAAAGTTACAAGTTCCTGTCATAAAACCGTTTAGGAGAAAACCCGCGGAAACGTATTTTACGGAAAAAAATAAGAAAGAGAGATTAATCGTAACAAGTCCAAAGAGCGGTCGGGATGTGCCTACACATGTGCATACATTGTCCGTGCACGACTTTGTATCAAGGCAATTTGCGTTTCATCTAATAATTACCGGTACATGTAAATAAAAAGGTTGTTTGCAATTACCCATGAATTTATTGGTGGTTACGTGTGAGACAGTGATGAGTGATATGAGCATGTCTCTGAATACCTTAACATCGAGCAAGATATATTGGCCAGTTTATTTTCCACATGCTGTTTTGTTTTTTATCTTCTGTATTCAATGAAATCATCCATTTTTGTTAGTTTTCAGTGCATCGAGTACCACCTGTACTCACTTGCCCACCCAACTTTTTTGAAGAAGTCTCAGGTGGCGTTCAGAATGGAATATTGAAATGCCATATGTGCAACGTTTATCCTTTCCCAATCATTGGTCGAAAAGTGCACTATTGAATAACCACTATCTATTCATTTCAGTGGATCGTGTACCACCTGTGATCACTTGCCCATCTGACATCACCCAACGAGTCACGATTGACAATCGGAATGGAATTGAAGTAGAATGGAGTCCTGCAACAGCAACAGACAACAGTGGAGCTGAACCAAATGTCTCCCTGGGCTCAAATGCACAACAAGGACCTGGTTCCTTCTTCCAGTTTGGAACCTACAGTATTCTCTACATTGCCTCAGATGGGGCAGGCAATTCCAGGACATGTTCTTTTACTGTGACAGTTGGTAAGTTTTTTCATCAAGGATGTTTTTTTTTCCTGAAATCAAGAAAAAGTGTGTCAGTTGTGTAAAGTGATTAATTTAGTCTCATTTCAAAAACGATAATTGTTTTGGACTGGGGTTATTTAACATTCCTGCTATAATGTTTGTACAACAGACACCAATGAAAGATCTTGAAGTTGCACCTATACTAAGATTAAATTAGAAATAACAGACTTGGGTAATTAGTAGGCATTTAATTAAGGTCTGCAAAACCAACCAGTACATCAAACTCCGGTTACTTTTTTCATGGGTAAAAGTTTGCGGGATCAAGAATTGTTAACAAACATAATTCATCCTACACAACATAAATTGTTTCATTCAGTGCACGGCATTAAATAAGAATACCAAAAACAAAAATAATAATTTTTTTCTGTAGAATTTTCCAGGGCAAAAGATGAAATCACAATGTTTTTGATGGGCTATTCATATGTATTACTAATAATCTTGGCTCAACTGCAGTATTCTATGGCATAATTGAAACTTCAAAGGCTGACGGAGTTGTGTGGTTTTATTGTGAATGGTTCAACTTTGACACTTTGTATTAAGATTGATAGGCCTACACTCTTAAGATGTTCTGGCATAATTTCATTTCAGTTGACAATGTGCCTCCTGTGATTAACTACCCAGCCAACATCATTCAAGAAGTCACGACTGGCAATCGGAATGGAGTTGAAGTAACGTGGAATTTACCCACAGCTACAGACAACAGTGGATCTACGCCAACTGTCATTCTGACCTCAGATCAACAGCTGGGACCCGGTGCCTTCTTCCAGTTCGGAAGTTACACCATTGCTTATAGCGCCGTTGATGGGGCAAGCAATTCCGCCGAATGTTCCTTTACTGTAACTGTTGGTAAGTTAACATTTCTAGATAAGTTGAAATATTCCGGATTGAAATAATGTAAAAGAGCGTCTCTTTGATTCTCAATTCTGGTCAATCCTTAACGCCGCTGTCACTTTTTGTTTAATGACACTTTGAATAAGTCCACAAATATGTATGTAAATAAATAAAGAGGAAAATCGCAAAATCTTTCCGGATAGATAACATCAAGGGGGACGGGATGTCGGATCTTACCAATAGCAACTGAATGTCCAAAGCTGAATCAGATAATACACCCTCGTAAAAGAGAGGGAGAGAGAATACAAACATCATTGATCACTTTGTTCAAGAGTTAAAGGTTAAAGAAATTGGTCAATATATATTGAAAGTTACAAGTTCCTATCATAAAACCGTTTAGGAGAAAACCTGCGGAAACGTATTCTACGGGAAAAAATAATCATCCCTTCACTCTCACACTCTTTTGTCCGTTCCCACTCCCTGTGACCTTTGATCCTTCCCCTAATTTCTGGTCCCTCCCCTGTTGACCAAGACCCCTTGTGGTTTGCCATCTCCCTTTGTTTCTTTGTTCTCTCGTCCACCCTCCCCTGCATCTTTCCACACCTTTCACACCTAATCCTCCTTTTGTGTTTCTTCTTTCAGCCCTGCATGTTTGAGTGCACCCCCATGTTAATGTATGTACCTCTGTCATTTCTGTTTTAGCCTCTGAAGAAGAACTTGCTAAGTTCGCAACGTCAGGCCACATTAATTTTAAGATTTATATATTTCAGGTCCATCCAGTCAGTAAGCAGTTTGCAGCAGTTTTACTTTTTTTCATGGAAAAAATAAGAAAGACAGATTAATCGTAACAAGTCCAAAGAGCGGTCGGGATGTGCCCGACCGCTCGAAAATCCAGCCAGAGGTTAAGGCCAAAAAAAAAGTATCCGTTTTCTGGTATGGAGCTTGTCCAAAAAGTGAAAATATATGGGAGTCCAGAGAGGCTACATAAAGCTTATTCTCGATCATAACCGCAAGTTAAAATTGTGCAGCAGCAGGATTCCAGTCAAACCAGTGAGTTTGGCGGTTTTGAGACATCATCTTTCATTGAAAAAAAACCTTTTTCATTTTGCCGACGCGCATGGTTATACGCGACGCGCGCGCATACCAGAAACCGGAAACTATTTTTTTTGCCTAATGAAATAACGAGGAAACGCACACATAATTATTATGAAATTGAAAGATTCAGAACTCAATCACAAGTCAGTTATATTTCTTGAATTCATCGCATTATCGCTTAGGAGATATGGAGTTATTTTAGTTCTCACTGAGTATTATATTCATCTGTATTTGCATACATTGTCCGTGCACGACTTTGTATCAAGGCAATTTGCGTTTCATCTAATAGTTACCGGTACATGTAAATAAAAGTATTGTTTGCAATTACCCATGAATTTATTGGTGGTTACGTGTGAGACAGTGATGAGTGATATGAGCAAGTCTCTGAATACCTTAACATCGAGCAAGATATATTGGCCTGTTTATTTTCCACATGCTGTTTTGTTATTTTTCTTCTGTATTCAAAGAAATCATCTATTTTTGTTAGTTTTCAGTGCATCGAGTACCACCTGTACTCACTTTCCCACCCAACTTTTTTGAAGAAGTCTCAGGTGGCGTTCAGAATGGAATATTGAAATGCCATATGTGCAACGTTTATCCTTTCCCAATCATTGGTCGAAAAGTGCACTATTAAATTACCACTATCTATTCATTTAAGTGGATCGTGTACCACCTGTGATCACTTGCCCAGCTGACAGCACCCAACGAGTCACGACTGGCAATCGGAATGGAATTGAAGTAGAATGGAGTCCTGCAACAGCCACAGACAACAGTGGAGCTGAACCAAATGTCTTGCTGGGCTCAAATGCACAACAAGGACCTGGTTCCTTCTTCCAGTTTGGAACCTTCAGTATTCTCTACATTGCCTCAGATGGGGCAGGCAATTCCAGGACATGTTCTTTTATTGTGACAGTTGGTAGGTTTTTTCATCAAGGATCATTTCAAAACCGATAATTGTTTGGACAGGGGTTATTTAACATTCCTGCTATAATGTTTGTACAACAGACACAAATGAAAGATCTTGAAGTTGGACCTATACTAAGGTTAAATTAGAAATAACAGACTTGGGTAATTAGTAGGCATTTAATTAAGGTCTGCGAAACCAACCAGTACATCAAACTCCGGTTACTTTTTACATTGGTAAAAGTTTGCGGGATCAAGAATTGTTAACAAACATATTTCATCCTACACAACATTAATTGTTTCATTCAGTGCACGGCATTAAATAAGAATACCAAAAGCGAAAATATTATTTTTTTCTGTAGAATTTTCCAGGGCAAAAGATGAAATCACAATGTTTTTGATGGGCTATTCATATGTATTACTAATAATCTTGGCTCAACTGCAGTATTCTATTGCATAATTGAAACTTCAAAGGATGACGGAGTTGTGTGGTTTTATTGTGAATGGTTCAACTTTGGCATTTGGTATTAAGATTGATAGGCCTACGCTCTTAAGATGTTCTGGCATAATTTCATTTCAGTTGACAATGTGCCTCCTGTGATCAACTGCCCAGCCAACATCATTCAAGAAGTCACGACTGGCAATCGGAATGGAGTTGAAGTAACGTGGAATTTACCCACAGCTACAGACAACAGTGCATCTACGCCAACTGTCATTCTGACCTCAGATCAACAGCTGGGACCCGGTGCCTTCTTCCAGTTCGGAAGTTACACCATTGCTTATAGCGCCGTTGATGGGGCAAGCAATTCCGCCGAATGTTCCTTTACTGTAACTGTTGGTAAGTTACCATTTCTAGATAAGTTGAAATATTCCGGATTGAAATAATGTAAAAGAGCGTCTCTTTGATTCTCAATTCTCGTCAATCATAAACGCCGCTATCACTTTTTGTTTAATGACACGGTGAATAAGTCCACAAATATGTATGTAGATAAATAAAGAGCAAAATCGCAAAATCTTTCCGGATAGATAACGTCAAGGGGGACGGGATGTCGGATCTTACCAATAGCAACTGAATGACCTAAGCTAAATCAGATAATACACCCTCGTAAAAGAGAGGGAGAGAGAATACAAACATCATTGATCACTTTGTTCAAGAGTTAAAGGTTAAAGAAATTGGTCAATATATATTGAAAGTTACAAGTTCCTATCATAAAACCGTTTATGAGAAAACCCGCGGAAACATATTTTACGGAAAAAAATAAGAAAGACAGATTAATCGTAACAAGTCCAAAGAGCGGTCGGGATGTGCCCGACCGCTCGAAAATTCAGCCAGAGGTTAAGGCCAAAAAAAAAGTATCCGTTTTCTGGTATAGAGCTTGTCCAAAAAGTGGTGCAGCGACGCGACAGTTTTTTTTTACCTGACTGTTTTGCTTCAAATGTCGGCTGATGACTGCAAATGGTGCCCGACTAAACTTAGTGTAAATATATGGGAGTCCAGAGAGGCCACATAAAGCTTATTCTCGATCATAACCCCAAGTTAAAATTGTGCTGTAGCAGGATTCCAGTCAAACCAGTGAACGGTTTGGCGGTTTTGAGACATCATCTTTCATTGAAAAAAAAAATTCATTTTGCCGACGCGCATGGTGATACGGCGACGCGCGCGCATACCAGAAACTGGACACTTTTTTTTTTGGCCAAATGAAATAACGAGGAAACGCACACATAATTATTATGAAATTGGAAGATTCAGAACTCAATCACAGCGCAGTTATATTTCTTGAATTCATCGCATTATCGCCTAGGAGATATGGAGTTATTTTAGTTCGCACTGAGTATTATATTCATCTGTATGGGCATACATTGTCCGTGCACGACTTTGTATCAAGGCAATTTGCGTTTCATCAAATAATTACCGGTACATGTAAATAAAAGTATTGTTTGCAATTACCCATGAATTTATTGGTGGTTACGTGTGAGACAGTGATGAGTGATATGAGCAAGTTTCTGAATACCTTAACATCGAGCAAGATATATTGGCCTGTTTATTTTCCACATGCTATTTTGTTATTTTCCTTCTGTATTCAATGAAATCATCCATTTTTGTTACTTTTCAGTTCTTCGAGTACCACCTGTACTCACTTGCCCACCCAACTTTTTTGAAGAAGTCTCAGGTGGCGTTCAGAATGGAATTTTGAAATGCCATATGTGATATCCTCCCAATCATTGGTCGAAAAAGTGCACTATTAAATTACCACTATCTATTCATGTCAGTGGATCGTGTACCACCTGTGATCACTTGCCCAGCTGACATCACCCAACGAGTCACGATTGACAATCGGAATGGAATTGAAGTAGAATGGAGTCCTGCAACAGCCACAGACAACAGTGGAGCTGAACCAAATGTCTCCCTGGGCTCAAATGCACAACAAGGACCTGGTTCCTTCTTCCAGTTTGGAACCTTCAGTATTCTCTACATTGCCTCAGATGGGGCAAGCAATTCCAGGACATGTTCTTTTACTGTGACAGTTGGTAGGTTTTTTCATCAAGGATGTGTTTTTTTCTGAAATCAAGAAAAAAGTGTGTCAGTTGTGTAAAGTGATTAATTTAGTCTCATTTCAAAAACGATAATTGTTTTGGACTGGGGATATTTAACATTCCTGCTGTAATGTTTGTACAACAGACACCAATGAAAGATCTTGAAGTTGCACCTATACTAAGGTTAAATTAGAAATAACAGACTTGGGTAATTAGTAGGCATTTAATTAAGGTCTGCAAAACCAACCAGTACGTCAAACTCCGGTTACTTTTTACATGGGTAAAAGTTTGCGGGATTCAAAAATTGTTAACAAACATAATTCATCCTACACAACATAAATTGTTTCATTCAGTGCACGGCATTAAATAAAAATCCCAAAAACAAAAATATTATTTTTTTTGTAGAATTTTCCATTGCAAACGATGAAATCACAATGTTTTTGATGGGCTATTCATATGTATTACTAATAATCTTGGCTCAACTGCAGTATTCTATGGCATAATTGAAACTTCAAAGGCTGACGGAGTTGTGTGGTTTTATTGTGAATGGTTCAACTTTGACATTTTGTATTAAGATTGATAGGCCTACACTCTGAAGATGTTCTGGCATAATTTCATTTCAGTTGACAATGTGCCTCCTGTGATCAACTGCCCAGCCAACATCATTCAAGAAGTCACGACTGGCAATCGGAATGGAGTTGAAGTAACGTGGAATTTACCCACAGCTACAGACAACAGTGGATCTACGCCAACTGTCATTCTGACCTCAGATCAACAGCTGGGACCCGGTGCCTTCTTCCAGTTCGGAAGTTACACCATTGCTTATAGCGCCGTTGATGGGGCAAGCAATTCCGCCGAATGTTCCTTTACTGTAACTGTTGGTAAGTTACCATTTCTAGATAATTTGAAATATTTCGGATTGAAATAATGTAAAAGAGCGTCTCTTTGATTCTCAATTCTGGTCAATCCTAAACACCGCTATCACTTTTTGTTTAATGACACGGTGAATAAGTCCACAAATATGTATGTAAATAAATAAAGAGCAACATCGCAAAATCTTTCCGGATAGATAACGTCAAGGGGGACGGGATGTCGGATCTTACCAATAGCAACTGAATGTCCAAAGCTGAATCAGATAATACACCCTCGTAAAAGAGAGGGAGAGAGAATACAAACATCATTGATCACTTTGTTCAAGAGTTAAAGGTTAAAGAAATTGGTCAATATATATTGAAAGTTACAAGTTCCTATCATAAAACCGTTTAGGAGAAAACCCGCTGAAACGTATTTTATGGAAAAAAATAAGAAAGAAAGATTAATCGTAACAAGTCCAAAGAGCGGTCGGGATGTGCCCGACCGCTCGAAAATCCAGCCAGAGGTTAAGGCCCCTCCCCCCAAAAGTATCTGTTTTCTGGTATGGAGCTTGTCCAAAAAGTGGTGCGGCGACGCGACTTGTTTTTGTTACCTGACTTTTTTGCTTCAAATGTCGGCTGATGACTGCAAATGGTGTCCGACTTAACTTAGTGAAAATATATGGGAGTCCAGAAGGGTTCATCAAGCTTATTCTCGATCATAACCGCAAGTTAAAATTGTGCAGCAGCAGGATTCCAATCAAACCAGTGTGTTTGGCGGTTTTGAGACATCATCTTTCATTGAAAAAAAAAAAATTTCATTTTGCCGACGCGCATGGTTATACGGCGACGCACGCGCATACCAGAAACCGGAAACTATTTTTTTGGCCTAATGAAATAACGAGGAAACGCACACATAATTATTATGAAAATGAAAGATTCAGAACTCAATCACGAGTCAGTTATATTTCTTGAATTCATCGCATTATTGCTTAGGAGATATGGAGTTATTTTAGTTCTCACTGAGTATTATATTCATCTGTATGTGCATACATTGTCCGTGCAAGACTTTGTATCAAGGCAATTTGCGTTTCATCTAATAGTTACCGGTACATGTAAATAAAAGTATTGTTTGCAATTACCCATGAATTTATTGGTGGTTACGTGTGAGACAGTGATGAGTGATATGAGCAAGTCTCTGAATACCTTAACATCGAGCAAGATATATTGGCCTGTTTATTTTCCACATGCTATTTTGTTATTTTTCTTCTGTATTCAATGAAATCATCCATTTTTGTTAGTTTTCAGTGCATCGAGTAGCACCTGTACTCACTTGCCCACCCAACTTTTTTGAAGAAGTCTCAGGTGGCGTTCAGAATGGAATATTGAAATGCCATATGTGCAACGTTTATCCTTTCCCAATCATTGGTCAAAAAGTGCACTATTTAATTACCACTATCTATTCATTTCAGTGGATCGTGTACCACCTGTGATCACTTGCCCAGCTGACATCACCCAACGAGTCACGACTGGCAATCGGAATGGAATTGAAGTAGAATGGAGTCCTGCAACAGCCACAGACAACAGTAGAGCTGAACCAAATGTCTCCCTGGGCTCAAATGCACAACAAGGACCTGGTTCCTTCTTCCAGTTTGGAACCTACAGTATTCTCTACATTGCCTCAGATGGGGCAGGCAATTCCAGGACATGTTCTTTTACTGTGACAGTTGGTAAGTTTTTTCATCAAGGATGTGTTTTTTTCCTGAAATCAAGAAAAAAGTGTGTCAGTTGTGTAAAGTGATTAATTTAGTCTCATTTCAAAAACGATAATTGTTTTGGACAGGGGTTATTGAACATTCCTGCTATAATGTTTGTACAACAGACACCAATGAAAGATCTTGAAGTTGCACCTATATTAAGATTAAATTAGAAATAATAGACTTGGGTAATTAGTAGGCATTTAATTAAGGTCTGCGAAACCAACCAGTACATCAAACTCCGGTTACTTTTTACATGGGTAAACGTTTGCGGGATCAAGAATCGTTAACAAACATAATTCATCAAACATAATTCATCCTACACAACATAAATTGTTTCATTCAGTGCACGGCATTAAATAAGAACACCAAAAACAAAAATATTATTTTTTTCTGTAGAATTTTCCAGGGCAAAAGATGAAATCACAATGTTTTTGATGGGCTATTCATATGTTTTACTAATAATCTTGGCTCAACTGCAGTATTCTATGGCATAATTGAAACTTCAAAGGCTGACGGAGTTGTGTGGTTTTATTGTGAATAGTTCAACTTTGACATTTTGTATTAAGATTGATAGGCCTACACTCTTAAGATGTTCTGGCATAATTTCATTTCAGTTGACAATGTGCCTCCTGTGATTAACTGCCCAGCCAACATCATTCAAGAAGTCACGACTGGCAATCGGAATGGAGTTGAAGTAACGTGGAATTTACCCACAGCTACAGACAACAGTGGATCTACGCCAACTGTCATTCTGACCTCAGATCAACAGCTGGGACCCGGTGCCTTCTTCCAGTTCGGAAGTTACACCATTGCTTATAGCGCCGTTGATGGGGCAAGCAATTCCGCCGAATGTTCCTTTACTGTAACTGTTGGTAAGTTACCATTTCTCGATAAGTTGAAATATTTCGGAATGAAATAATGTAAAAGAGCGTCTCTTTGATTCTCAATTCTTGTCAGTCCTAATCTCCGCTATCACTTTTTATTTAATGACACGGTGAATAAGTCCACAAATATGTATGTAAATATGTCACAAACCTGGGTCCTCCTACCCTCTCACACGCAATGTGTCCCCGGTCTCATCATAACAACGCTCAGACAAAATATTAAATGCAGGAAATTTATAGGGTACAACTATTTATTTACACTATCTACACAAATATATCAAAATCAGCAAATGGGGAGAATTCAGCTTATTAAATTATAAAATGAAAACACCAGATTCATACTCTAATTTCATGACCTATAGGACCAATATTAATACATACATATTCACCATACATCGACACTCCCAAAACCGAAGGGCTTTACAACCTGACGTCGCTGAAAGGCGAAAAGCTAACAGTTCACTTTAGGATGAGTCTCTGTCCAGCGGTCCACGAACCGGTCCTTGCTTGACTATGAAGTGGTGGACGATTCTTGGGGCTTGGAGGATCAGATGGCCGCGACCTTGGTCTTGAGCGGAAGGGCCTCAGGGATGTATCGACCGGTGGGATGTATCGGCTCAGTCCCCAACCAATGGGTGGATCCAACAATGAACGGCGTGTGGACTTAACTCCACAAAAAGGAGCCCTGAAATAATATTAAATATAATTTTAACCACCTACCCTATTTTCAGGCTGTAATTATAGAATCAACAAATCACACAAAAATATTTTCATCAGCCCAAAAGGGGCGTGTCCCATGAAGCAGATTTGCAACGTAACGCATTCAAATATGCACAAGGTACAATACAGCCAAATTGATACATTCACTGATGTTTAAATGAATTAATTACTTTATACTAATGAAACAAATATTAAAATGAAACTTACAGTATATTACTGGCTCCTAAAACTTGGACCACTGTCAGAGGATGCAAAATTCGCTGTCTAAAACACAGCTCTTCAGACCAGGCAAACTTCCAGCCAAAATGGCAGGAAAACTCTATCTGCAACTAACAATGCTGAAGGGTAGGCTATCGCCTTATCTGGATTCTCAAACATCCACTCAGTAGTAAGACTTAGCAAAAAAAGTAGCTTTATCTTCAAAATGTTGGAGCTATCGCTCTACAGTGTGCTATCGCACCACAAGCCTGTCTGCTTCTAACTAAAACTGCTACCAATGCATGTATGTGCACACTTCAGTGAGCCAGTATTATGCTAATTTAACCTTAAGAAAGTTTACCTGCACATGCCACACACAGAAGTAAACTATGCAGGACCACACCTTAATTTGCATAAAATGTCTATATAAAAGGAATTAGGCCAAACTTCGCCACACGTAGTTCAAACAAATCCTAAGGAACTTACACTTGGCGTAAAATATCAGGCTGACCTGTGACAAAATAAATAAAGAGCAAAATTGCAAAATCTTTCCGGATAGATAACATCAAGGGGAACGGGATGTCGGATCTTACCAATAGCAACTGAATGTCCAAAGCTGAATCAGATAATACACCCTCGTAAAAGAGAGGAAGAGAGAATACAAACATCATTGATCACTTCGTTCAAGAGTTAAAGGTTAAAGAAATTGGTCAATATATATTGAAAGTTACAAGTTCCTATCATAAAACCGTTTAGAAGAAAACCCGCGGAAACGTATTTTACGGAAAAAAATAAAAAAAGAAAGATTAATCGTAACAAGTCCAAAGAGTGGTCGGGATGTGCCCAACCGCTCAAAAATCCAGCCAGAGGTTAAGGCCAAAAAAAAAGTATCCGTTTTCTGGTATGGAGCTTGTCCAAAAAGTGGTGCGGCGACGCGATATTTTTTTTTTACCTGACTTTTTTGCTACAAATGTCGGCTGATGACTGCAAATGGTGCCCGACTTAACTTAGTGAAAATATATGGGAGTCCAGAGAGGCTACATTAAGCTTATTCTCGATCATAACCCCAATTTAAAATTGTGCAGCAGCAGGATTCCAGTCAAACCAGTGAGTTTGGCGGTTTTGAGACATCATCTTTCATTGAAAAAAAAAACTTTTTCATTTTGCCGACGCGCACGGTTATACGGCGACGCGCGTGCATACCAGAAACCGGAAACTATTTTTTGGCCTAATGAAATAACGAGGAAACGCACACATAATTATTATGAAATTGGAAGATTCAGAACTCAATCACAAGTCAGTTATATTTCTTGAATTCATCGCATTATCGCTTAGGAGATATGGAGTTATTTTAGTTCTCACTGAGTATTATATTCATCTGTATGGGCAAACATTGTCCGTGCACGACTTTGTATCAAGGCAATTTGCGTTTCTTCTAATAATTACCGGTACATGTAAATAAAAGTATTGTTTGCAATTACCCATGAATTTATTGGTGGTTACGTGTGAGACAGTGATGAGTGATATGAGCAAGTCTCTGAATACCTTAACATCGAGCAAGATATATTGGCCTGTTTATTTTCCACATGCTGTTTTGTTATTTGTCTTCTGTATTCAACGAAATCATCCATTTTTGTTACTTTTCAGTGCATCGAGTACCACCTGTACTCACTTGCCCACCCAACTTTTTTGAAGAAGTGTCAGGTGGCGTTCAGAATGGAATATTGAAATGCCATATGTGCAACGTTTATCCTTTCCCAATCATTGGTCGAAAAGTGCACTATTAAATTACCACTATCTATCCATTTCAGTGGATCGTGTACCACCTGTGATCACTTGCCCAGCTGACATCACCCAACGAGTCACGATTGACAATCGGAATGGAATTGAAGTAGAATGGAGTCCTGCAACAGCCACAGACAACAGTGGAGCTGAACCAAATGTCTTGCTGGGCTCAAATGCACAACAAGGACCTGGTTCCTTCTTCCAGTTTGGAACCTACAGTATTCTCTACATTGCCTCAGATGGGGCAAGCAATTCCAGGACATGTTCTTTTACTGTGACAGTTGGTAAGTTTTTTTCATCAAGGATGTGTTTTTTTCTGAAATCAAGATAAAGTGTGTCAGTTGTGTAAAGTGATTAATTTAGTCTCATTTCAAAAACGATAATTGTTTTGGACTGGGGATATTTAACATTCCTGCTATAATGACAGATCACCAATGAAAGATCTTGAAGTTGCACCTATACTAAGGTTAAATTAGAAATAACAGACTTGGGTAATTAGTAGGCATTTAATTAAGGTCTGCAAAACTAACCAGTACATCAAACTCCGGTTACTTTTACATGGGTAAAAGTTTGCGGGATCAAGAATTGTTAACAAACATAATTCATCCTACACAACATAAATTGTTTCATTCAGTGCACGGCATTAAATAACCATATACCAAAACAAAAATATTATTTTTTTTCTGTAGAATTTTCCAGAGCAAAAGATGAAATCACAATGTTTTTGATGGGCTATTCATATGTATTTCTAATAATCTTGGGTCAACTGCAGTATTCTATTGCATAATTGAAACTTCAAAGGCTGACGGAGTTGTGTGGTTTTATTGTGAATGGTTCAACTTTGACATTTTGTATTAAGATTGATAGGCCTACACTCTTAAGATGTTCTGGCATAATTTCATTTCAGTTGACAATGTGCCTCCTGTGATCAACTGCCCAGCCAACATCATTCAAGAAGTCACGACTGGCAATCGGAATGGAGTTGAAGTAACGTGGAATTTACCCACAGCTACAGACAACAGTGGATCTACGCCAACTGTCATTCTGACCTCAGATCAACAGCTGGGACCCGGTGCCTTCTTCCAGTTTGGAAGTTACACCATTGCTTATAGCGCCGTTGATGGGGCAAGCAATTCCGCCGAATGTTCCTTTACTGTAACTGTTGGTAAGTTACCATTTCTAGATAAGTTGAAATATTTCGGATTGAAATAATGTAAAAGAGCGTCTCTTTGATTCTCAATTCTGGTCAATCCTAACGCCGCCATTATTTTTTTGTTTAATGACACGGTGAATAAGTCCACAAATATGTATGTAAATAAATCAAGAGCAATATCTCAAAATCTTTCCGGATTGATAACATCAAGGGGGACGGGATGTCGGATCTTACCAATAGCAACTGATTGACCTAAGCTGAATCAGATAATACACCCTTGTAAAAAAGAGGGAGAGAGAATACAAACATTATTGATCACTTTGTTCAAGAGTTAAAGGTTAAAGAAATTGGTCAATATATATTGAAAGTTACAAGTTCCTATCATAAAACCGTTGAGGAGAAAACCCGCGGAAAGGTATTTTACGGAAAAAAAATAAGAAAGAAAGATTAATCGTAACAAGTCCCAAGAGCGGGCGGGATGTAGCCCGACCGCTCAAAAATACAGCTAGAGGTTAAGGCTAAAACGAAAAAAAGGATCCGTTTTCTGGTATGGAGCTTGTCCAAAAAGTGGTGCGGCGACGCGACTTTTTTTTTTTTACCTGACTTTTTGCTTCAAATGTCGGCTGATGACTGCCAATGGTGCCCGACTAAAGTGAATATATATAGGAGTCCAGAAAGGCTACATACAGCTTATTCTCGATCATAACCCCAAGTTAAAATTGTGCAGCAGCAGGATTCCAGTCAAACAAGTGAGTTTGGCGGTTTTGAGACATCATCTTTCATTGAAAAAAAAAACCTTTTTCATTTTGCCGACGCGCATGGTTATACTGCGACGCGCGCGCATACCAGAAACCGGAAAGTTCTTTTTTGACCTAATGAAATAACGAGGAAACCCACACATAATTATTATGAAATTGGAAGATTCAGAACTCAATCACAAGTCAGTTATATTTCTTGAATTCATCGCATTATCGCTTAGGGGATATGGAGTTATTTCAGTTCTCACTGAGTATTATATTAATCTGTATGGGCAAACATTGTCCTTGCACGACTTTGTATCAAGGCAATTTGCGTTTCATCTAATAGTTACCGGTACATGTAAATAAAAGTATTGTTTGCAATTACCCATGAATTTATTGGTGGTTACGTGTGAGACAGTGATGAGTGATATGAGCAAGTCTCTGAATACCTTAACATCGAGCAAGATATATTGACCTGTTTATTTTCCACATGCTGTTTTGTTATTTTTCTTCTGTATTCAATGAAATCATCCATTTTTGTCACTTTTCAGTGTATCGAGTACCACCTGTACTCACTTGCCCACCCAACTTTTTTGAAGAAGTCTCAGGTGGCGTTCAGAATAGAATATTGAAATGCCATATGTGCAACGTTTATCCTTTCCCAATCATTGGTCGAAAAGTGCACTATTAAATTACCACTATCTATTCATTTCAGTGGATCGTGTACCACCTGTGATCACTTGCCCAGCTGACATCACCCAACGAGGCACGATTGACAATCGGAATGGAATTGAAGTAGAATGGAGTCCTGCAACAGCCACAGACAACAGTAGAGCTGAACCAAATGTCTCCCTGGGCTCAAATGCACAACAAGGACCTGGTTCCTTCTTCCAGTTTGGAACCTACATTATTCTCTACATTGCCTCAGATGGGGCAGGCAATTCCAGGACATGTTCTTTTACTGTTACAGTTGGTAGGTTTTTTCATCAAGGATGTGTTTTTTTTCTGAAATCAAGAAAAAGTGTGTCAGTTGTGTAAAGTGATTAATTTTGTCTCATTTCAATAACGAATTTTTTTTTGGACTGGGGATATTTAACATTCCTGCTATAATGTTTGTACAACAGACACCAATGAAAGATCTTGAAGTTGCACCTATACTAAGGTTAAATAAGAAATAACAGACTTGGGTAATTAGTAGGCATTTAATTAAGGTCTGCAAAACCAACCAGTACGTCAAACTCCGGTTACTTTTTACATGGGTAAAAGTTTGCGGGATCAAGAATTGTTAACAAACATAATTCATCCTACACAACATAGATTGTTTCATTCAGTGCACGGCATTAAATAAGATCACCAAAACCAAAAATATTATTTTTTTCTGTAGAATTTTCCAGGGCAAAAGATGAAATCACAATGTTTTTGATGGGCTATTCATATGTAATACTAATAATCTTGGCTCAACTGCAGTATTCTATGGCATAATTGAAACTTCAAAGGCTGACGGAGTTGTGTGGTTTTATTGTGAATGGTTCAACTATGATATTTTGTATTAAGATTGATAGGCCTACACTCTTAAGATGTTCTGGCATAATTTCATTTCAGTTGACAATGTGCCTCCTGTGATCATCTGCCCAGCCAACATCATTCAAGAAGTCACGACTGGCAATCGGAATGGAGTTGAAGTAACGTGGAATTTACCCACAGCTACAGACAACAGTGGATCTACGCCAACTGTCATTCTTACCTCAGATCAACAGCTGGGACCCGGTGCCTTCTTCCAGTTCGGAAGTTACACCATTGCTTATAGCGCCGTTGATGGGGCAAGCAATTCCGCCGAATGTTCCTTTACTGTAACTGTTGGTAAGTTACCATTTCTAGATAAGTTAAAATATTCCGGATTGAAATAATGTTAAAGAGCGTCTCTTTGATTCTCAATTCTGGTCAATCCTTAACGCCGCTGTCACTTTTTGTTTAATGACACGGTGAATAAGTCCACAAATATGTATGTGAATAAATAAAGAGGAAAATCGCAAAATCTTTCCGGATAGATAACATCAAGGGGGACGGGATGTCGGATCTTACCAATAGCAACTGATAGACCTAAGCTGAATCAGATAATACACCCTCGTAAAAGAGAGGGAGAGAGAATACAAACATCATTGATCACTTTGTTCAAGAGTTAAAGGTTAAAGAAATTGGTCAATATATATTGAAAGTTACAAGTTCCTATCATAAAACCGTTGAGGAGAAAACCCGCGGAAACGTATTTTAAGGAAAAAAATAAGAAAGAAAGATTAATCGTAACAAGTCCAAAGAGCGGTCGGGATGTGCCCGACCGCTCAAAAATCCAGCCAGAGGTTAAGGCCCCCAAAAAAGTATCCGTTTTCTGGTATGGAGCTTGTCCAAAAAGTGGTGCGGCGACGCGACTTTTTGCTTCAAATGTCGGCTGATGACTGTAAATGGTGCCCGACTAAAGTGAATATATATAGGAGTCCAGAAAGGCTACATACAGCTTATTCTCGATCATAACTTCAAGTTAAAATTGTGCAGCAGCAGGATTCCAGTCAAACCAGTGAGTTTGGCGGTTTTGAGACATCATCTTTCATTAAAAAAAAAGGCTTTTTCATTTTGCTGACGCGCATGGTTATACGGCGACGCGCGCGCATACCAGAAACCGGAAAGTTCTTTTTTGGCCTAATGAAATAACGAGGAAACGCACACATAATTATTATGAAATTGGAAGATTCAGAACTCAATCACAAGTCAGTTATATTTCTTGAATTCATCGCATTATCGCTTAGGAGATATGGAGTTATTTCAGTTCTCACTGAGTATTATATTCATCTGTATGGGCATACATTGTCCGTGCACGACTTTGTATCAAGGCAATTTGCGTTTCATCTAATAGTTACCGGTACATGTAAATAAAAGTATGTTTGCAATTACCCATGAATTTATTGGTGGTTACGTGTTAGACAGTGATGAGTGATATGAGCAAGTCTCTGAATACCTTAACATCGAGCAAGATATATTGGCCTGTTTATTTTCCACATGCTGTTTTGTTATTTTTCTTCTGTATTCAATGAAATCATCCATTTTTGTTACTTTTCAGTGCATTGAGTACCACCTGTACTCACTTGCCCACCCAACTTTTTTGAAGAAGTCTCAGGTGGCGTTCAGAATGGAATATTGAAATGCTATATGTGCAACGTTTATCCTTTCCCAATCATTGGTCGAAAAGTGCACTATTAAATTACCACTATCTATTCATTTCAGTGGATCGTGTACCACCTGTGATCACTTGCCCAGCCGACATCACCCAACGAGTCACGACTGGCAATCGGAATGGAATTGAAGTAGAATGGAGTCCTGCAACAGCCACAGACAACAGTGGAGCTGAACCAAATGTCTCCCTGGGCTCAAATGCACAACAAGGATCTGGTTCCTTCTTCCAGTTTGGAACCTACAGTATTCTCTACATTGCCTCAGATGGGGCAGGCAATTCCAGGACATGTTCTTTTAGTGTGACAGTCGGTAAGTTTTTTCATCAAGGATGTGTTTTTTTCTGAAATCAAGATAAAGTGTGTCAGTTGTGTAAATTGATTAATTTAGTCTCATTTCAAAAACGATAATTGTTTCGGACTGGGGATATTTAACATTCCTGCTATAATGTTTGTACAACAGACACCAATGAAAGATCTTGAAGTTGCACCTATACTTAGGTTAAATTAGAAATAACAGACTTGGGTAATTAGTAGGCATTTAATTAAGGTCCACAAAACCAACTAATACATCAAACTCCGGTTACTTTTTACATGGGTAAAAGTTTGCGGGATCAAGAATTGTTAACAAACATAATTCATCCTTCACAGCATAAATGACTCAAGCAAAAATTAAAAGTTCTTAGCAAGTAGATTACAGATAGTAAGTCGGAGAATAACCAAGTCAATGTCGCTTAACTTGTGCATGTAAATACAAGTAGTACTTGTTAGAAAAATTAGGGAAATATTAGGGAAATTAAGTCAGGGTATCTCTTTTACAGTTGACAATGAACCACCTGTGATCTCCGGCTGTCAAAATAATATCGTTTTGACAACCGCAAATATGCAAGGCCTCAATGTCTTCTGGACACCACCGACTGCAACAGACGCTAGTTCTTATGACACACGGTCAACACATGCGCCGGGAGAACTTTTTCCTGTTGCAGCAACTCAAGTCACGTACACTTTTACTGATGTAAATGGGCTTTCCTCAACATGCGTCTTTACTGTCACTGTCACATTCGGTAAGTAGAACTGATAATAGCTTATAAAAAACGGCTTTTATTCTGTTCTTGTTAATTGATTCTGTGTTGTTGCCCGTGTGTTGGTGAAAATATCAAACGATTATCTGAATTGCTTGGCTAATATACATGTATTGTAAGATTAAGCTATTTTTACAGATTTTTTAAAAGATTGTTTTTTTTTCTGTAAAAAAAAGAAGAAAAAAGGAGATGAGGTTGCTTTGGAGGTTGCTATTGAAAATTTTTGTCATTTTAAACCAAAAACCTAGAAAACGAAACAAAAAGTGTTTAAATCATGCTAAATTCTTGTTGGCAGTATAAAAATTAATTTAATCATTCATTTTATTTTGAGTAAAATGCAATTTTCTGAACAACATAGGCTATTGTTGCAATAGTCTGTTGATACACATATAGAGTTGCCTCTGTCTCATTGCTAATGGTCAGATATTTACATTGGATTAAGTTTGAAACATTTGTCGGAAGTGGGATCTTTTTTTTTTTTTGTATTTACAGGGAATGGCAGGCCACTTGTGATTAACTGCCCAGCCAACATCATTCAAGAAGTCTCGACTGGCAATCGGAATGGAATTGAAGTAACATGGAATTTACCCACAGTCGCGGACGACAGTGGAATACAACCAACTATCTCCTTGACATCAAATGCACAGCTTGGACCTGGTTCGTTCTTTCCATTTGGAAGCTACACAATTACCTACAGAGCTACTGATGTGGAAGGGAATTCCGAGTCATGTTCCTTTACTGTCATTGTTGGTAAGTTTTCATTTCATCTGTAAGTAACACACAAAAGGAAGACAAGCTACTCTATTAGTGCTATGATATTTTTGTTTAACTCAAATCAACTATTATTTGACAAATAAATGCAAAGGATGAAAGCTTTGTCTTCAGGTCAATGCGCAATGAGCCAGAAAGAAAGCAGATACAAAACACTGTAGCAGACACAGAAACATTAAACCGGCATGTGCATCATCATAACTCCTTGTTCATAACATTTTGGTGTTTTTTTTATTTCGACTGCTTTATTAGTTGACTACACGAGTCTGTTTATTTTCTACATGCTATGTTGTTTGTTATTTTGCTTCTGTTTTTAATGAAATCATCCGTTGTTTATTTTCAGTGGATCGAGTACCACCTGTACTCAATTGCCCTCCAAATATTATACGAGAAGTCACCAGTGGCAATGGGAATGGAATTGAAGTGTCATGGAATGTTCCTACAGCTACAGACAACAGTGGAGCTGAACCAACTGTCTCCCTGAGCTCAAATTCCCAACAAGGACCTGGTTCCTTCTTCCAGTTTGGAACCTACACCATTGCCTACCTTGCCACAGATGAGACAGGCAATTCCATGACATGTTCTTTTACTGTGACAGTCGGTAAGTTTTTTTCATCAAGGGTGGGTTTTTTTCTGAAATTAAGATAAAGTGTGTTATTTGTGTAAAGTGATTAATTTAGTCTCATTTGAAAAAAATATATTTGTTTTGGACTGGGGATATTTAACATTCCTGCTATAATGTTTGTACAACAGACACCAATGAAAGATCTTGAAGTTGCACCTATACTTAGGTTAAATTAGAAATAACAGACTTGGGTAATTAATAGGAAATTTAATTAAGGTCCACAAAACCAACCAGTACATCAAACTCCGGTTACTTTTTACATGGGTAAAAGTTTGCGGGATCAAGAATTGTTAACAAACATAATTCATCTTACACAAAATAAATGACTCAAGCAAAAATTAAAAGTTCTTAGCAAGTAGATTACAGATAGTAAGTCGGAGAATAACCAAGTCAATGTCGCTTAACTTGTGCATGTAAATACAAGTCGTACTTGTTAGAAAAATTAGGGAAATATTAGGGAAATTAAGTCAGGGTATCTCTTTTACAGTTGACAATGAACCACCTGTGATCTCCGGCTGTCAAAATAATATCGTTTTGACAACCGCAAATATGCAAGGCCTCAATGTCTTCTGGACACCACCGACTGCAACAGACGCTAGTTCTTATGACACACGGTCAACACATGCGCCGGGAGAACTTTTTCCTGTTGCAGCAACTCAAGTCACATACACTTTTACTGATGTAAATGGGCTTTCCTCAACATGCGTCTTTACTGTCACTGTCACATTCGGTAAGTAGAACTGATAATAGCTTATAAAAAAACGGCTTTTATTCTGTTCTTGTTAATTGATTCTGTGTTGTTGCCCGTGTGTTGGTGAAAACATCAAATGATTATCTGAATTGCTTGGCTAATATACATGTATTGTAAGATTAAGCTATTTTTACAGAATTTTTAAAAGAGTGTTTTTTTTTTCTGTAAAAAAAAAGAAGAAAAAAGGAGATGAGGTTGCTTTGGAGGTGGCTATTGAACATTTTTGTCATTTTAAACCAAAAAACTAGAAAACAAAACAAAAAGTGTTTAAATCATGCTAAATTCTTGTTGGCAGTATAAAAATTCATTTAATCATTCATTTTATTTTGAGTAAAATACAATTTTCTGAACAACATAGGCTATTGTTGCAATAGTCTGTTGATACACATAAAGAGTTGCCTTTGTCTCATTGCTAATGGTCAGATATTTACATTGGATTAAGTTTGAAACATTTGTCGGATGTAGGATCTTTTCTTCTTTTTTTATTTACAGGGGATGGCGGGCCACTTGTGATTAACTGCCCAGCCAACATCATTCAAGAAGTCTCGACTGGCAATCGGAATGGAATTGAAGTAACATGGAATTTACCCACAGTCGCGGACGACAGTGGAATACAACCAACTATCTCCTTGACATCAAATGCACAGCTTGGACCTGGTTCGTTCTTTCCATTTGGAAGCTACACAATTACCTACAGAGCTACTGATGTGGAAGGGAATTCCGAGTCATGTTCCTTTACTGTCACTGTTGGTAAGTTTTCATTTCATCTGTAAGTAACACACAAAAGGAAGACAAGCTACTATATTAGTGCTATGATATTTTTGTTTAACTCAAATCAACTAATATTTGACAAATAAATGAAAAGGATGAAAGCTTTGATTTGTCGTCATGTTGATGCGCAATGTCCCAGAAAAAAACAGATACAAAACACTGCAGCAGACACAGAAACATAACTGGCATGTGCATCATCATAACTCCTTGTTTATAACTCTCTTTTTTTCCCGACTGCTTTATTAGTTGACTACACGAGTCTCGGCTTATTTTCTACATGCTATGTTGTTATTTTACTTCTGTTTTCAATGAAATCATCCGTTGTTAATTTTCAGTGGATCGAGTACCACCTGTTCTCAATTGCCCACCCAATATTATACAAGAAGTCACCAGTGGCAATGGGAATGGAATTGAAGTGTCATGGAATGTTCCTACAGCTACAGACAACAGTGGAGCTGCACCTAATGTCTTCCTGACCTCAAATTCACAGCAAACTCCAGGTTCCTTCTTTGCATTTGGAACATACACCATAACATATACTGCCAGTGATGGTGCAGGCAATTCCGTTTCGTGTTCTTTTACTGTTAATGTTGGTAAGTTTTTGAATTCCATTGTTAGAAATATAGGCAATTAATATTTATATATGGAAATAAACATCAGTATTATTTGTCAGTACATGGACACATTTCCATTGTAATCAGTTGTTATTGATTAGAACTGCCTCTGCGTTTGTTGTCATTGTGGTATATATGTTACCCTACAACTGTAATATGAAAGTCCAAATTACCAGCCTTTTCGAGTCAGAACCAATACCAATATAATTGGTTAAACATTGACATGTCTTTCAAGGGAATAAACGGCTTTTGCTTTTGATGTAATTTTGAGGAATGGATGGATTTTTGGGGTTAGGTATTTTATAGCAAACATTCTTACACTGACTTGTTGACGTTTTGTATTGATGCTGGAAAAACCAAGAACGATCATGTTCCTGTAGTCTGGTTCCCTGACCCCACTTAAGATGAAACGGAGCAATTTATGGACGTCGGGGAATGGTAAAGTCAGGGAAACAGTCCAGCCGGGTTGTACCCGTTCATAGGTGTGAAATCGAGTGCAAACAAAATATGAACCAACACTTGTCGGCCGACCAGCGTTTGAAATTGATAAAAAGTACTACCTTTCTTGGAAATGACAGCACACCAGGTGCCATGATTTTACAGGATGCTTTAAACTGTCATTAATTTTCCATTGAGGTAGTTCATAATAATTTGGTAGGTTTTTTATATATGCAAATGGTGTGTATTCCCTTTATACATGGTGAAAAACATTTTGACTGAACAGATGTATTGGAATGCCATATGTGGAACTTAAAGGTAGTTGCCATTAAGCGGCAACTAACGATGCCACCCTCATAAATAACTGTGATGTCATAGGCTGCTGAGGCAGACAAGGATTATGGAAAAAATATTAAAACATTCAAGTCTCATTTTCTGGTGATTTCCAAACAACGACTCCATTTCGGGTTCATCTGTGGCTTCGAAATCATGTACCAGGAGTCTTTATGAAAATTGGAAACAATCTAAACTTCGGCCTCATATAAACCTTTGGCTCGTATTATATAATGAGATGCATCTGCACCAGAATACTGTTGCATATTGAGCCAGAGTTCCTGATGGTAGAGATTCAGCCGAGATTCAGAAAACGCCCATCGATGCCTCCATCTTGAATGTTCGGTCGATCAAAACGGACATTGATTCCAACGGCTCAGGGATATTAACCGTATCACACCAACGGCAAAAAAAAATGAAGCCGTAGCCAAAAAGTATTTTTTGATTGTGGACATGGCCAGAAATGACCTCGCGCGGGGTCACCAGTCATTAGGCGTGCGCAAACGAATCATCATCATCATCAGGCTGTGGTCTTCCATTGTTGGATGAAGCCCTCTTCGGGCAGTTTCCATTCTCTTTTGTCACTTGTCATTCTACTCCACGTTGCCGTGTTAATGTTGTGATTTCATCTCTCCATCTCCTTTTTTAGTTTGCCTCTTTTTGTTCTGCCTGCCCTTGGTTGCCATTCTGTGAGTCTCTTGATCCATCGGTTGTCGTGTCGTCTTGCTACCATGCTCATTTGCTCCTCTCCTTTGCTGCCTTTTTTTCCTTTTCGTCTTTCGCTCCTATTAATTAGGGCAGGCACAATTGACTTCATTTACACTCTGCAGATGGATACTTGTTCATGTCTTTGTTTCTTGTTTGTCCAATCATGTTGATTTGGTCCTGGCATGGCAACGTAAGCCTTCGGCTTATGCACAATATTACTGAACATTTATTTTCAACGTTGTTATGACACAACTATGAAATTGTTATGTTAACATTAAACAAACAACATATAATACAAAGTAATTTTTACAGTAATATTATTAACACAGTGAAACTATATACATAATCCACATAACAACACAGAGATAGGGTGAAGTGGTCGCTTTTGTTCCCTGGCCCGTTGGACACTTCCAGACTGACAGACAACTACAAAGTACGCACTTAGCTCAAGACAATGGCAGACAAACAGGAGTATCATTAAGCTATCGTTGTATGTAGGCAAAGTATTAAAAGACTACGAATAAGATGTAAGAAGTTGCTGATTTAATAATTTATGATTTGTTAACGAGTCTTAGATTTGTGGATTATTTACATTACTTGTTTTGTTAATTTATTATTTCTAGGCTCCGTCCCTCCTTTATTTCATCTACACTTTATTTCTTCTTTTATGCTCATTCAGTTTCTCATTAATGTTACTTATTCAAAGATTCAATGGTCTTTTTGTAGAATTCTCAGCAATACTGAAACAAATGCATGTATGAATGAAGGATTCTAATCTCTTCAACCAGTCGTCAATGCACAGTTTGTACGGTACGATCACATAAGCAAGCTCCGATTGGAGTTCTTACCGGCTGGAAATAAGTTTAAGGATGATTCAATATTACATCCAAAAACTATCTACAGAGCTTCTATAGGCTGTTAGCACGCGGGAGATCCATTTCGGTAAATTCCACAATTGCGTTATTTTGGGAGATTTAAGATTTTACTACAAAACAATATGCTTTACAAAATCACGATGATAATCTTTGGCATGGTGAAGAGGGCATACAAAAATTGAGTTGCAATGATTTATCATACGACGGTGTACACAATAAAACATAAACATACATTGAGAACAATAGTTGATTCCTTTTACTGTTTCTCTTCATTTTGCGACGAAACCCAACCCCAAAATGCCTGTTTTTCAGAGAGGGGGAAACCTTGTGTGGACGCGGGCAAGTCCACCCAACGTATCTGAAACCTGGTTTATGTGGACATCTTTTAGTCACCATTTACTAAAGCACTCTGCCAACCACTGGTAACATGTATATCCAGAAACCCCTTTGAATATGAGACACTTAAATAGCTGGACCCATGAATCTACACATTTCTGTTTGAGGTACTTTGCTTAAATATTGTGGTGTTTTTATATTCAACAGTATCACCAAATCCGTGCTTACCTTCACCTTGCCAGAATGGTGGGACTTGTTTCAATAGTTCTTCTGGGATTCTTATCTTCTGCGTTTGTCCTGAAGGCTTTTCAGGAGTTAGATGTGAAATATACGGTATGTTTTCCCCAACTTTTAATTGATGAAAATACTTATATATCTGGGGAAAAAATGCAATATGTAGGGGGGGGGGGGGCCTGAATACAGAATATCCGAGGGAGGGGGAGACAAAATCTGCTTTTACACCTGATCCTGCTGTTACCTGCCTTGTATCACTTAGAGCCGTTTTATTTTGAACGATGTCTAATCTTCAAAGCTCAATTGTGATTCAACCTTTATATTACAAGGTTTTCGAGAAAAGTGGTATTTATACTAAAATGTAGTTCCATAGGAAAATGTAAATTATGTCTATAAAAAAAGTAAAACTAGGGACTACACGATTGAGATTAAAACAAATCACGTTAATTTTAGATTGAAATACACACACACAAATAATAAAATCGAGTTAAAAATCGAGTTTAAACTTAATCTATTAATTAAATTGACTGAATTTCACTCTAAATCGTACGGTCCCTAGTTTCAGTCGGCGTGAGCGAATTGATACCTGATGACGTAACAAAATTCATAACATCTGCGTAACATCTTCATAACATGGTATATGTTCACACTAGGTTTTATGATCATCCCGTTAACCGTTCGGAAGAAATTTTGCTTTATTTCATTTCAGGCAAATTTCGTCATTTTGATTTCACCTAACTTTGACCTTCCGGTAGACCCGGAAGTAAGGGTCAAGCGACTTCACGCACACAACAAAAAATGTTTATCAATTAATGATCCGCCTGAGAAATTTGCTTTATTTCATTTCAGGCTAATTTCGTCATTTTGATTTCACCGAACTTTGACCTTCCGGTAGACCCGGAAGTAAAGGTCAAGCAACTTCACGTACACAACAAAAAAGGTTTATCAATTAATGATCCACCTGATAACAGAATACAAACATCATGGATCACTTTGTTCAAGAGTTAAAGATTAAAGAAATTGGTCAATATATATTGAAAGTTACAAGTTCCTATCATAAAACCGTTTAGGAGAAAACCCGCGGAAACGTATTTTACAGAAAAAAAATAAGAAAGAAAGATTAATCGTAACAACTCCAAAGAGTGGTCGGGATGTGCCACAGATGGAACAGGCAATTCCATGACATGTTCTTTTACTGTGACAGTTGGTAAGTTTTTTCATCAAGGATGTGTTTTTTTTCTGAAATCAAGATAAAGTGTGTCAGTTGTGTAAAGTGATTAATTTAGTCTCATTTCAAAAAAGATAATTGTTTTGGACTGGGGATATTTAACATTCCTGCTATAATGTTTGTCCAACAGACACCAATGAAAGATCTTTAAGTTGCACCTATACTAAGGTTAAATTAGAAATAACAGACTTGGGTAATTAGTAGGCATTTAATTAAGGTCCACAAAACCAACCAGTACATCAAACTCCGATTACTTTTTACATGGGTAAAAGTTTGCGGGATCAAGAATTGTCAACAAACATAATTCATCCTACACAACATAAATGACTCAAGCAAAAATTAAAAGTTCTTGGCAAGTAGATTACAGATAGTAAGTCGGAGAATAACCAAGTCAATGTCGCTTAACTTGTGCATGTAAATACAAGTAGTACTCGTTAGAAAAATTGGTATTAGGGAAATTAAGTCAGGGTATCTCTTTTACAGTTGACAATGAACCACCTGTGATCTCCGGCTGTCAAAATAATATCGTTTTGACAACCTCAAATATGCAAGGCCTCAATGTCTTCTGGACACCACCGACTGCAACAGACGCTAGTTCTTATGACACACGGTCAACACATGCGCCGGGAGAACTTTTTCCTGTTGCAGCAACTCAAGTCACATACACTTTTACTGATGTAAATGGGCTTTCCTCAACATGCGTCTTTACTGTCACTGTCACATTCGGTAAGTAGAACTGATAATAGCTTATAAAAAAACGGCTTTTATTCTGTTCTTGTTAATTGATTCTGTGTTGTTGCCTTTGTGTTGGTGAAAACATCAAATGATTATCTGAATTGCTTGGCTAATATACATGTATTGTAAGATTAAGCTATTTTTACAGAATTTTTAAAAGAGTGTTTTTTTTTTCTGTAAAAAAAAAAGAAGAAAAAAGGAGATGAGGTTGCTTTGGAGGTTGCTATTGACAAATTTTGTCATTTTAAACCAAAAAACTAGAAAACAAAACAAAAAGTGTTTAAATCATGCTAAATTCTTGTTGGCGGTATAAAAATTCATTTAATCATTCATTTTATTTTGAGTAAAATACAATTTTCTGAACAACATAGGCTATTGTTGCAATAGTCTGTTGATACACATATAGAGCTGCCTTTGTCTCATTGCTAATGGTCAGATATTTACATTGGATTAAGTTTGAAACATTTGTCGGAAGTGGGATCTTTTGTTCTTTTTTTATTTACAGGGGATGGCGGGCCACTTGTGATTAACTGCCCAGCCAACATCATTCAAGAAGTCTCGACTGGCAATCGGAATGGAATTGAAGTAACATGGAATTTACCCACAGTCGCGGACGACAGTGGAATACAACCAACTATCTCCTTGACATCAAATGCACAGCTTGGACCTGGTTCGTTCTTTCCATTTGGAAGCTACACAATTACCTACAGAGCTACTGATGTGGAAGGGAATTCCGAGTCATGTTCCTTTACTGTCACTGTTGGTAAGTTTTCATTTCATCTGTAAGTAACACACAAAAGGAAGACAAGCTACTATATTAGTGCTATGATATTTTTGTTTAACTCAAATCAACTAATATTTGACAAATAAATGAAAAGGATGAAAGCTTTGATTTGTCGTCATGTTGATGCGCAATGTCCCAGAAAAAAGCAGATACAAAACACTGCAGCAGACACAGAAACATAACTGGCATGTGCATCATCATAACTCCTTGTTTATAACTCTCTTTTTTTCCCGACTGCTTTATTAGTTGACTACACGAGTCTCGGCTTATTTTCTACATGCTATGTTGTTATTTTGCTTCTGTTTTCAATGAAATCATCCGTTGTTAATTTTCAGTGGATCGAGTACCACCTGTTCTCAATTGCCCACCCAATATTATACAAGAAGTCACCAGTGGCAATGGGAATGGAATTGAAGTGTCATGGAATGTTCCTACAGCTACAGACAACAGTGGAGCTGCACCTAATGTCTTCCTGACCTCAAATTCACAGCAAACTCCAGGTTCCTTCTTTGCATTTGGAACATACACCATAACATATACTGCCAGTGATGGTGCAGGCAATTCCGTTTCGTGTTCTTTTACTGTTAATGTTGGTAAGTTTTTGAATTCCATTGTTAGAAATATAGGCAATTAATATTTATATATGGAAATAAACATCAGTATTATTTGTCAGTACATGGACACATTTCCATTGTAATCAGTTGTTATTGATTAGAACTGCCTCTGCGTTTGTTGTCATTGTGGTATATATGTTACCCTACAACTGTAATATGAAAGTCCAAATTACCAGCCTTTTCGAGTCAGAACCAATACCAATATAATTGGTTAAACATTGACATGTCTTTCAAGGGAATAAACGGCTTTTGCTTTTGATGTAATTTTGAGGAATGGATGGATTTTTGGGGTTAGGTATTTTATAGCAAACATTCTTACACTGACTTGTTGAAGTTTTGTATTGATGCTGGAAAAACCAAGAACGATCATGTTCCTGTAGTCTGGTTCCCTGACCCCACTTAAGATGAAACGGAGCAATTTATGGACGTCGGGGAATGGTAAAGTCAGGGAAACAGTCCAGCCGGGTTGTACCCGTTCATAGGTGTGAAATCGAGTGCAAACAAAATATGAACCAACACTTGTCGGCCGACCAGCGTTTGAAATTGATAAAAAGTACTACCTTTCTTGGAAATGACAGCACACCAGGTGCCATGATTTTACAGGATGCTTTAAACTGTCATTAACTTTCCATTGAGGTAGTTCATAATAATTTGGTAGGTTTTTTATATATGCAAATGGTGTGTATTCCCTTTATACATGGTGAAAAACATTTTGACTGAACAGATTTATTGGAATGCCATATGTGGAACTTAAAGGTAGTTGCCATTAAGCGGCAACTAACGATGCCACCCTCATAAATAACTGTGATGTCATAGGCTGCTGAGGCAGACAAGGATAATGGAAAAAATATTAAAACATTCAAGTCTCATTTTCTGGTGATTTCCAAACAACGACTCCATTTCGGGTTCATCTGTGGCTTCGAAATCATGTACCAGGAGTCTTTATGAAAATTGGAAACAATCTAAACTTCGGCCTCATATAAACCTTTGGCTCGTATTATATAATGAGATGCATCTGCACCAGAATACTGTTGCATATTGAGCCAGAGTTCCTGATGGTAGAGATTCAGCCGAGATTCAGAAAACGCCCATCGATGCCTCCATCTTGAATGTTCGGTCGATCAAAACGGACATTGATTCCAACGGCTCAGGGATATTAACCGTATCACACCAACGGCAAAAAAAAAATGAAGCCGTAGCCAAAAAGTATTTTTTGATTGTGGACATGGCCAGAAATGACCTCGCGCGGGGTCACCAGTCATTAGGCGTGCGCAAACGAATCATCATCATCATCAGGCTGTGGTCTTCCATTGTTGGATGAAGCCCTCTTCGGGCAGTTTCCATTCTCTTTTGTCACTTGTCATTCTACTCCACGTTGCCGTGTTAATGTTGTGATTTCATCTCTTCATCTCCTTTTTTAATTTGCCTCTTTTTGTTCTGACTGCCCTTGTTTGCCATTCTGTGAGTCTCTCAATCCATCGGTTGTCGTGTCTTCTTGCTACCGTGCTCATTTGCTCCTCTCCTTTGCTGCTTTTTTTCCTTTTCGTCTTTTCGCTCCTACTAATTAGGGCAGGCACAATTGACTTCATTTACACTCTGCAGATGGATACTTGTTCATGTCTTTGTTTCTTGTTTGTCCAATCATGTTGATTTGGTCATGGCATGGCAATGTAAGCCTTCGGCTTATGCACATTATTACTGAACATTTATTTTCAACGTTGTTATGACACAACTATGAAATCGTTATGTTAACATTAAACAAACAACATATAATACAAAGTAATTTTTACAGTAATATTATTAACACAGTGAAACTATATACATAATCCACATAACAACACAGAGATAGGGTGAAGTGATCGCCTTTGTTCCCTGACCCGTTGGACACTTCCAGACTGACAGACAACTACAAAGTACGATCTTAGCTCAAGACAATGGCAGACAAACAGGAGTATCATTAAGCTATCGTTGTATGTAGGCAAAGTATTAAAAGACTACGAATAAGATGTAAGAAGTTGCTGATTTAATAATTTATGATTTGTTAACGAGTCTTAGATTTGTGGATTATTTACATTACTTGTTTTGTTAATTTATTATTTCTAGGCTCCGTCCCTCCTTTATTTCATCTACACTTTATTTCTTCTTTTATGCTCATTCAGTTTCTCATTAATGTTACTTATTCAAATATTCAATGGTCTTTTTGTAGAATTCTCAGCAATACTGAAACAAATGCATGTATGAATGAAGGATTCTAATCTCTTCAACCAGTCGTCAATGCACAGTTTGTACGGTACGATCACATAAGCAAGCTCCGATTGGAGTTCTTACCGGCTGGAAATAAGTTTAAGGATGATTCAATATTACATCCAAAAACTATCTACAGAGCTTCTATAGGCTGTTAGCACGCGGGAGATCCATTTCGGTAAATTCCAATTGCGTTATTTTGGGAGATTTAAGATTTTACTACAAAACACAATGCTTTACAAAATCACGATGATAATCTTTGGCATGGTGAAGAGGGCATACAAAAATTGAGTTGCAATGATTTATCATACGACGGTGTACACAATAAAACATAAACATACATTGAGAACAATAGTTGATTCCTTTTACTGTTTCTCTTCATTTTGCGACGAAACCCAACCCCAAAATGCCTGTTTTCCAGAGAGGGGGAAACCTTGTGTGGACGCGGGCAAGTCCACCCAACGTATCTGAAACCTGGTTTATGTGGACATCTTTTAGTCACCATTTACTAAAGCACTCTGCCAACCACTGGTAACATGTATATCCAGAAACCCCTTTGAATATGAGACACTTAAATAGCTGGACCCATGAATCTACACATTTCTGTTTGAGGTACTTTGCTTAAATATTGTGGTGTTTTTATATTCAACAGTATCACCAAATCCGTGCTTACCTTCACCTTGCCAGAATGGTGGGACTTGTTTCAATAGTTCTTCTGGGATTCTTATCTTCTGCGTTTGTCCTGAAGGCTTTTCAGGAGTTAGATGTGAAATATACGGTATGTTTTCCCCAACTTTTAATTGATGAAAATACGTATATATCTGGGGAAAAAATGCAATATGTAGGGGGGGGGGGGCCTGAATACAGAATATCCGAGGGAGGGGGAGACAAAATCTGCTTTTACACCTGATCCTGCTGTTACCTGCCTTGTATCACTTAGAGCCGTTTTATTTTGAACGATGTCTAATCTTCAAAGCTCAATTGTGATTCAACCTTTATATTACAAGGTTTTCGAGAAAAGTGGTATTCATACTAAAATGGTTACTTATCATGTAGTTCCATAGGAAAATGTAAATTATGTCTATAAAAAAAGTAAAACTAGGGACTACACGATTGAGATTAAAACAAATCACGCTAATTTTAGATTGAAATACACACACACAAATAATAAAATCGAGTTAAAAATCGAGTTAAAACTTAATCTATTAATTAAATTGACTGAATTTCACTCTAAATCGTATGGTCCCTAGTTTCAGTCGGCGGGAGTGAATTGATACCTGATGACGTAACAAAATTCATAACATCTTCGTAACATCTTCATAACATGGTACATGTTCACCCTAGGTTTTATTGTCATCCCGTTAACCGTTCGGAAGAAATTTTGCTTTATTTCATTTCAGGCTAATTTCGTCATTTTGATTTCACCTAACTTTGACCTTCCGGTAGACCCGGAAGTAAAGGTCAAGCAACTTCACGTACACAACAAAAAATGTTTATCAATTAATGATCCGTCTGATAACAGAATACAAACATCATTGATCACTTTGTTCAAGAGTTAAAGATTAAAGAAATTGGTCAATATATATTGAAAGTTACAAGTTCCTATCATAAAACCGTTTAGGAGAAAACCCGCGGAAACGTATTTTACAGAAAAAAAATAAGAAAGAAAGATTAATCGTAACAACTCCAAAGAGTGGTCGGGATGTGCCACAGATGGGACAGGCAATTCCATGACATGTTCTTTTACTGTGACAGTTGGTAAGTTTTTTCATCAAGGATGTGTTTTTTTTCTGAAATCAAGATAAAGTGTGTCAGTTGTGTAAAGTGATTAATTTAGTCTCATTTCAAAAAAGATAATTGTTTTGGACTGGGGATATTTAACATTCCTGCTATAATGTTTGTCCAACAGACACCAATGAAAGATCTTTAAGTTGCACCTATACTAAGGTTAAATTAGAAATAACAGACTTGGGTAATTAGTAGGCATTTAATTAAGGTCCACAAAACCAACCAGTACATCAAACTCCGATTACTTTTTACATGGGTAAAAGTTTGCGGGATCAAGAATTGTCAACAAACATAATTCATCCTACACAACATAAATGACTCAAGCAAAAATTAAAAGTTCTTGGCAAGTAGATTACAGATAGTAAGTCGGAGAATAACCAAGTCAATGTCGCTTAACTTGTGCATGTAAATACAAGTAGTACTTGTTAGAAAAATTAGGGAAATATTAGGGAAATTAAGTCAGGGTATCTCTTTTACAGTTGACAATGAACCACCTGTGATCTCCGGCTGTCAAAATAATATCGTTTTGACAACCGCAAATATGCAAGGCCTCAATGTCTTCTGGACACCACCGACTGCAACAGACGCTAGTTCTTATGACACACGGTCAACACATGCGCCGGGAGAACTTTTTCCTGTTGCAGCAACTGAAGTCACGTACACTTTTACTGATGTAAATGGGCTTTCCTCAACATGCGTCTTTACTGTCACTGTCACATTCGGTAAGTAGAACTGATAATAGCTTATAAAAAACGGCTTTTATTCTGTTCTTGTTAATTGATTCTGTGTTGTTGCCCGTGTGTTGGTGAAAATATCAAACGATTATCTGAATTGCTTGGCTAATATACATGTTTTGTAAGATTAAGCTGTTTTTACAGAAAAACTATCTTAAAAAAGTGTTTTTTTTCCTGTAAAAAAGAAAAAGAAAAAAAGGAGATGAGGTTGCTTTGGAGGTCGCTATTGAAATATTTTTGTCATTTTAAACCAAAAAGCTAGAAAGCAAAACAAAAAGTGTTTAAATCATGCTTAATCCTTGTTGGTAGTATAATAATTCATTTAAACATTCATTTTATTTTGAGTAAAATGCAATTTTCTGAACAACATAGGCTATTGTTGTAACAGTCTGTTGATACACATATAGAGTTGACTTTGTCTCATTGCTAATGGTCAGATATTTACGTTGGATTAGGTTTGAAACATTTGTCGGATGTAGGATCTTTTCTTCTTTTTTTATTTACAGGGGATGGCGGGCCACTTGTGATTAACTGCCCAGCCAACATCATTCAAGAAGTGTTGACTGGCAATCGGAATGGAATTGAAGTAACATGGAATTTACCCACAGTCGCGGACGACAGCGGAATACAACCAACTATCTCCTTGACATCAAATGCACAGCTTGGACCTGGTTCGTTCTTTCCATTTGGAAGCTACACAATTACCTACAGAGCTACCGATGTGGAAGGGAATTCCGAGTCATGTTCCTTTACTGTCACTGTTGGTAAGTTTTCATTTCATCTGTAAGTAACACACAAAAGGAAGACAAGCTACTATTAGTGCTATGATATTTTTGTTTAACTCAAATCAACTAATATTTGACAAATAAATGAAAAGGATGAAAGCTTTGATTTGTCGTCATGTTGATGCGCAATGTCCCAGAAAAAAGCAGATACAAAACACTGCAGCAGACACAGAAACATAACTGGCATGTGCATCATCATAACTCCTTGTTTATAACTCTCTTTTTTTCCCGACTGCTTTATTAGTTGACTACACGAGTCTCGGCTTATTTTCTACATGCTATGTTGTTATTTTGCTTCTGTTTTCAATGAAATCATCCGTTGTTAATTTTCAGTGGATCGAGTACCACCTGTTCTCAATTGCCCACCCAATATTATACAAGAAGTCACCAGTGGCAATGGGAGTGGAATTGAAGTGTCATGGAATGTTCCTACAGCTACAGACAACAGTGGAGCTGCACCTAATGTCTTCCTGACCTCAAATTCACAGCAAACTCCAGGTTCCTTCTTTGCATTTGGAACATACACCATAACATATACTGCCAGTGATGGTGCAGGCAATTCCGTTTCGTGTTCTTTTACTGTTAATGTTGGTAAGTTTTTGAATTCCATTGTTAGAAATATAGGCAATTAATATTTATATATGGAAATAAACATCAGTATTATTTGTCAGTACATGGACACATTTCCATTGTAATCAGTTGTTATTGATTAGAACTGCCTCTGCGTTTGTTGTCATTGTGGTATATATGTTACCCTACAACTGTAATATGAAAGTCCAAATTACCAGCCTTTTCGAGTCAGAACCAATACCAATATAATTGGTTAAACATTGACATGTCTTTCAAGGGAATAAACGGCTTTTGCTTTTGATGTAATTTTGAGGAATGGATGGATTTTTGGGGTTAGGTATTTTATAGCAAACATTCTTACACTGACTTGTTGAAGTTTTGTATTGATGCTGGAAAAACCAAGAACGATCATGTTCCTGTAGTCTGGTTCCCTAACCCCACTTAAGATGAAACGGAGCAATTTATGGACGTCGGGGAATGGTAAAGTCAGGGAAACAGTCCAGCCGGGTTGTACCCGTTCATAGGTGTGAAATCGAGTGCAAACAAAATATGAACCAACACTTGTCGGCCGACCAGCGTTTGAAATTGATAAAAAGTACTACCTTTCTTGGAAATGACAGCACACCAGGTGCCATGATTTTACAGGATGCTTTAAACTGTCATTAACTTTCCATTGAGGTAGTTCATAATAATTTGGTAGGTTTTTTATATATGCAAATGGTGTGTATTCCCTTTATACATGGTGAAAAACATTTTGACTGAACAGATTTATTGGAATGCCATATGTGGAACTTAAAGGTAGTTGCCATTAAGCGGCAACTAACGATGCCACCCTCATAAATAACTGTGATGTCATAGGCTGCTGAGGCAGACAAGGATAATGGAAAAAATATTAAAACATTCAAGTCTCATTTTCTGGTGATTTCCAAACAACGACTCCATTTCGGGTTCATCTGTGGCTTCGAAATCATGTACCAGGAGTCTTTATGAAAATTGGAAACAATCTAAACTTCGGCCTCATATAAACCTTTGGCTCGTATTATATAATGAGATGCATCTGCACCAGAATACTGTTGCATATTGAGCCAGAGTTCCTGATGGTAGAGAGTCGGCCGAGATTCAGAAAACGTCCATCGGTGCCTCCATCTTGAATGTGGGGTAGATCAAAACGGGCATTGATTCCAACGGCTAAGGGATATTCACCGTATCACACCAACGGCAAAAAAAAAATGAAGCCGTAGCCAAAAAGTATTTTCTGATTGTGGACATGGCCAGAAATGACCTCGCGCGGGGTCACCAGTCATTAGGCGTGCGCAAACGAGTCATCATCATCATCATCAGGCTGTGGTCTTCCATTGTTGGATGAAGCCCTCTTCGGGCAGTTTCAATTCTCTTTTGTCACTTGTCATTCTACTCCACGTTGCCGTGTTAATGTTGTGATTTCATCTCTCCATCTCCTCTTTTGTTTACCTCTTTTTGTTCTGCCTGCCCTTGGTTGCCATTCTGTGAGTCTCTTGATCCATCGGTTGTCGTGTCTTCTTGCTACCGTGCTCATTTGCTCCTCTCCTTTGCTGCTTTTTTTTTCCTTTTCGTCTTTTCGCTCCTATTAATTAGGGCAGGGCACAATTGATTTCATTTACACTCTGCAGATGGATACTTGTTCATGTCTTTGTTTCTTGTTTGTCCAATCATGTTGATTTGGTCCTGGCATGGCAATGTAAGCCTTCGGCTTATGCACATTATTACTGAACATTTATTTTCAACGTTGTTATGACACAAATATGAAATCGTTATGTTAACATTAAACAAACAACATATAATACAAAGTAATTTTTACAGTAATATTATTAACACAGTGAAACTATATACATAATCCACATAACAACACAGAGATAGGGTGAAGTGGTCGCTTTTGTTCCCTGGCCCGTTGGACACTTCCAGACTGCAAGACAACTACAAAGTACGAACTTAGCTCAAGACAATGACAGACAAACAGGAGTATCATTAAGCTATCGTTGTATGTAGGCAAAGTATTAAAAGACTACAAATAAGATGTAAGAAGTTGCTGATTTAATAATTTATGATTTGTTAACGAGTCTTAGATTTGTGGATTATTTACGTTACTTGTTTTGTTAATTAATTATTTCTAGGCTCCGTCCCTCCTTTATTTCATCTACCCTTTATTTCTTCTTTTATGCTAATTCAGTTTCTCATTAATGTTACTTATTCAAAGATTCAATGGTCTTTTTGTAGAATTCTCAGCAATACTGAAACAAATGCATGTATGACTGAAGGATTCTAATCTCTTCAACCAGTCGTCAATGCACAGTTTGTACGGTACGATCACATAAGCAAGCTCTGATTGGAGTACTTACCGGCTGGAAATAGGTTTAAGGATTATTCAATATTACATCTAAAAACTATCTACAGAGCTTCTACTGTTAGCACGTGGGAGATCCATTTCAGTAAATTCCACAATTGCGTTATTTTCGGAGATTTAAGATTTTACTACAAAACACCATGCTTTACAAAATCACGATGATAATCTTTGGCATGGTGAGGAGGGCATACAAAAATTGAGTGGCAATGATTTATCATACGACGGTGTACACAATACAACATAAACATACATGGAGAAAAATAGTTGATTCCTTTTACTGTTTCTCTTCATTTTGCGACGAATAAACTCAACCCCAAAATGCCCAGAGAGGGGGAAACCTAAGCTTGTGTGGACGCGGGCAAGTCTACCCAACGTATCTGAAACCTGGTTTATGTGGACATCTTTTAGTCACCATTTACTAAAGCACTCTTCCAATCACTCGTAACATGTATTTCCAGAAACCCCTTTGAAGATGGGACTCTTAAATAGCTGGGCCCATGAATCTACATATGTCTGTTTGAGGTGCTTTGCTTGAATATTGTGGTGTTTTTATATTCAACAGTATCATCGTCTCCGTGCTCATCTTCACCTTGCCAGAATGGTGGGACTTGTTACACGAGTTCTTCTGGGGATCAATTCTACTGCAATTGTCCTGAAGGCTTTCAAGGAACTACATGTGAAACATACGGTATGTTCTCCCCCAACTTTTAATTTATGAAAAGTTAATTTAATTTAATTTACTATTTCCAGAAATCCCTTTGAAGATGAGACACTTAAATAGCTGGGCCCATGAATCTACAAATTTCTGTTTGAGGTACTTTGCTTGAATATTGTGGTGTTTTTATATTCAACAGTATTATCAAATCCGTGCTTACATTCACCTTGCCTGAATGGTGGGTCATGTTACAATGGTTCTTCTGGGGATCGATTCTTCTGCGTTTGTCCTGAAGGCTTTCAAGGAATTAGATGTGAAACAGTATCATCGTATCCGTGCTTACCTTCACCTTGCCAGAATGGTGGGACTTGTTACACGAATTCTTCTGGGGATCAAATCTACTGCAATTGTCCTGAAGGCTTTCAAGGAATAACATGTGAAACATACGGTATGTTTTCCCCCAACTTTTAATTTATGAAAATACTAATAATTATATCTGGAAAAAATGCAATATGTAGGGGGGGGGGGGGGCGAATACAGAATATCCGAGGGAGGGGGAGACAGAATCAGCTGTTTCACCTGATCCTGCTGTTTGCCTTGTATCACTTAGAGCCGTTTTATTTTGAACGATGTCTAATCTTCAAAGCTCAATTGTGATTCGACCTTTATATTACAAGGTTTTCGAGAAAAGTGGTATTTATACTAAAATGGTTACTTATCAAGTAGTTCCATAGGAAAATGTAAATTATGTCTATACAAAAGGTAAAACTAGGGAATACACGATTGAGATAAAAACAAACCATGCTAATTTTAGATTGAAATACACACACACAAATAATAAAATCGAGTTAAAACTTAATCTATTAAATTGACTGAATTTCACTCTAAATCGTATGGTCCCTAGTTTCAGTCGGCGGGAGTGAATTTTCACTCCTTGGAATTGTATGAGAGAGTGTCAGGTTGTATTGATGTTATTGTGAGAAAGTTTCACTGATCGAATTTTCCTTAAAAAAACAATGAATGGGAGGTTTGCGGTAGCCGTGAATGATATAGTGAGTCGTGTCATTCTGAGAAAAACCAGTTGGTTTAACTTGACGTTTCGAACAGTATGCTCTGCTCGTCATCAGTCTCCTGCACGGTCAGAGCATACTGTTCAAAACGAAACTAAGAGACTTAATGAAACAAAACCAAGAGATATCAACCACATGGTGTTACCACAACCTTCCATACATTGATAATGTCCACAATGCAAATCCTTAAATCTTAATTAAATGAAGAAAATAAATTGGATAATAATATGGCATATTATGCGCGTCATGCGTGTGATGTTATGGATGGAAATGAGATGCTTTAATCATCCTTTAGTGTCGACAATTGGCGGCTTTTCTCCTTCTGGAAACAACTCTGTTGTTTTAGTTTAGTATTTCAGTCTGTAATATGATATAAAGTCTACAGAATCGAAGTGTGACTATAAGTGTCGATTTAGGTGTAACAGACTAGAGTCATATACAGAATATTTTACCAAATGGATACTGATTCTAAGAGCAAATTTGAATAATATAAAAGAACTAATGTAAAAAAAAAACACCCGGCAATGAAAGACAGAAGTGCAAGAAATTAAATACAAACTCGTTTGGTTTCGAGCGTTGCACAAGTCAAGTTAACATTAACAATGACTGTGGAAATACTATTTAAGATCGTTTTGTTTTCAGCGTGCAATTGCTACACCGACTCAACCGGTAAACCGAACGACTGTGAGGTTTCAGCAGAGTGTGACGTTGCTGACATCCTAGAAGTCCTGGCACAGGTAGTTCCTAGACGTCTTGCCTAATTAATTCATCATTACCTATGTAAAATTGAAATCAAAACTCCTGAGCACACGAAAATAAGCTCTAGTTTCAGTTTAGTTAACACATTTTCCCGGTATCCCATGAGTGTCAATGTGTAAACGCACACAATCACGCGCCACATTGGTGTCTGTCTAACTTTTTGGAGTTTGTATGGCGACATAAACATTATTGATGCGATAGACGGATTATTACCAACAAAGTGGTCCAAGTAACTTTTACCCTACTTATCGCCTTTTTAAACATTTGGACATGAGCTGGCGACAGTCTACTGACGCCAGATCATGGAATGTTACTGTAGCGGTACGCCAGTAAGGAGGTCCGCTCAAATGATTAGATTTAAGGACGCCAAGGACAAATTTCAAACAGAAACAAATCAAAGCAGGAGTCAAATTATGCTTGGTCTCAGGAACTTGTTCACAAAAATCGATTACAATAGTTTAAATTAACACCTGATCTCAATTTTAACCTACAACTGAAACAACTGTTACAAAAAGTATTGATAAGATAAAAGATTCAGTTTCTAGCTCTATAAATTGTGACACAGTTGCCAATGATAAAATATATTAAATCACAAAGTTTGTATTTCTAAAGTTCCCAGATTCAAAGTGAGGTTCCTAAGATTCACCGGTTCCCCGAACGCCTGGCCAGTGTACGGCTGTTGTGAACTAGGCCTCCAAATTGTATGGCATGAAACAGCCATATTACCATAAATCAACATGTGACACACGGTGATTAAAACTTTGAGATTGTGAAGACTAATTCACCCCCAAATCACTCCTTTTGTCAACATGAAATAAACTAAAACCTAGCCCAGCGGTAGCAGAGAACTTGCATTATGACATTAGAATGAAAAGATAATACAAATTTTGCTCATTTTAAACTAAAATGTTGGTTTTCAAGCACAAGTTTTGTACACGATACTCACACTTTGGTGTGCAGGCAGAAAAGGGATGATATTCGCGCGTTCACGGCACTGAGTGCGCGTTTGTATACATTTTTCTGGGCTGTGTGCCAATTGTACGGTGCCTCGTAAAAGACGTCTCACTACATTACAAAAGGCGATAAGTAGGGTCAAAGATACTTGGACTACCAACATAGCGATTTTTCTCGAGATGCCATATGGAATTTGCCCCCTATTTAAACCAAGAACGAAAACAAGTTCAACGACAGCTTAAGTTCGCAATTGGCTTTTGTGGACCACAGTTTTTAGAGACACTGCCCAACCAGTTTAGGGTTGGGGTTACGGTTTGTTCAAAGAGTAAACTTATTAATACTTCCATCATGTCTAGAACTTGGAGCCGGCTACGTAACCTTTATACTTAAGCCAGGCATTATATACAGTAATACAATCCTGATGAGAATCAGAAATTGTTTGGCTTGTACGCGTTTGTGGTGATACATGAACTTAATATGAACCATTTGCATTTTTATTCATAGATCGTGGTGAATGAAACCAATGTTCTTCCAGTGTCCGCTACGCTGAAGAACGCGACATCGAGTTTAATCAACACAGGGGATGAGCTCTCTCTGACGGCAACGGTTCTTGAGAATATAGCAAATGTAACCAGTCCAAGCCTCCAGGTACACGTCAAGATATTCAAGATTCACATGCCTCATTCTAAATGATCTTTACATATACTGACTCGATATTGCACACGCTTTTTTCCGTTAGTGGATGCCAAAAGCATACGGGTTGTAGCTTCTTCTGTTGAAAAACGTCAAGGGTAAACATATTTCACTTTTACTTTTTTTGGGGAGGCAAGAGTGTTTGCCCCTTGGAGGCTAGAAACAATAGACTTGTGTTTCTGACAATTCCTTTCCATATAGGTGACCGTAAACGTTGTCAAGACGGTCGACAACGTTCTCAATCTCCGTAACGAAATCTTCGAAGAGAATGATGATGCTGCTGGAAGGATCCTCCAAACCTTCGAGACACAGCTGACGTACGTCAGGGAAAACCTGACCATGGTCGACAACCTGTCGAACCTAGCTGTCGATGTCGTCATACTTGGCCCAGATTTAGACACCGATTCCGGCATAAGCTACGCTAGCATCCCCAGAAGCGGGAAGGTCGATGACACCCTGAAGAACAATGAGGGTCAGTTGAGTTCGGTGACCGAACCACGGGATGACGCTGAAGCATTCATTGGTCTTCCCGGAGAAGCTCTGAAATTGGATGATGAACAAGGTAAAGAAAAACATGCAATGAAGTATTTTTGTAAGTAATGCATTAAGAGGGAAATAGGGACAGTTATGTCAGGAACTAAAGCGAATTGAATCGTTTTTTAATCAAAGTATGTGACAATTAATTTGTTTCATGCAGGTTCCATGGTAAATTTGCCTGTTGTTTTCGCCGTGTACCTGACCTCCAAGCTATTCCAGTTAGCCACACCCGAGTCGCTAAGCTTTCCTGACGGAAGACAACTGGTAGTGAACAGTCGCATCATATCAGCTATCGTCGGAGACCGAGATCAAATCATTGAAAACCTGATGAGCCCTGTTGTAACGTCTTTCATTTCTCTGGACGTAAGTGACATCAATAACATTCGGACACAAAGATGAAAATTTAAATGATGGCATACAATTTATTCCATCCCAGCCAAAAGCATACCAAGAATTTTAATTCAAAATTGTTGAATGAGGTACATATTTTTGATAAAGAGTTTGTTGGACCCGATCCTCTTGTTTCGTTTACTGCCCTTCTTTTTTGTCTGTTTTTACAAATACAAATTGAAGAAGGTCACATTATTTTTTTTTTACTGTACTCAAGATGTTTTCTTTCGTTTCAGGCATCACTTACAGGTGAGTCAATCTGTGTCTTTTGGGACACTGCTGCTAGCAACTGGTCCACCGAGGGATGTACTCGGTCCACGGTCAACCCTGGTCAACGTTTCGTAGCCTGTGACTGCAATCACCTGACTAACTTCGCTATTCTACTGGTGAGTTTAAAGGTGTAATTGATTTAAATTACATTCTTCTGTTTTTTTTGTGTGCGAGTTTTTGTGTGGCTGTTTATTGCTTGCTTTCTGTTTTTGTTTTGCCTTCTCAGAGTTATTATGGTGACATTGACAACTTTGCGTTGGACATCATCAGCAAGGTCGGGTGTGCAGTATCGATCGGGGCGCTGCTTCTGACTATTATGGCCTGTTTGGTGCATCGGTAAGAATTGGGTTGTGAGGGTAGTGGCCAATATCGCCAGTAATGATATTTTTAAAGTACCAGACATTCAATTAATAACGTGCGTTATTTTCTTCAAGTTTGAAGATTGTGGAAACTTTATGGGATCATAAGATGAATTTTACGTGGGAACATGATTCTGTGCAACTTTCTACCCCTATTTGACATCCCTTTTTGATCTGACATCTACTTTGATTAAAAAGTGTCCTTCATTAACATCAAAAAAAGTTACATGTTTTTCCTGACGACTGAGGGCGCTGTTGCTTTGTTATTTCAGGGAAACACTGTTCAGTTTAGGGGTCTTTTGTTCAAATTGCGACAAATTGTCGCAACTACAACCGCAAAAAAATCTGAAATGCTGTCAACTTTTTGTGTAGAAGTAGATGCAGGTTTCTGCCTGAATTGAATTGAAATCACACTTTTGCTTATGAATATGTAAACTTGCATTAAGAAACCACAAAGGCAAAATACCCTTGAAAATAGCAAAACGAAAATTGAAAATAAGGTTGAATGGGACACAAAGGTGCATTTTCAAGGAATACTTTAAAAAAATATATTGCATGGGCCCTTTAACTTGGTGAGATTCTTGTCAACCGCATGTTTAAAAAAGATAACGATTCTGCTTCGATGACACAGTGAGCTTAGAAACAACCCAGCCAAGAAGTCATTCATCAACCTGTGCGTATCCCTGCTGGCCTTGTACGCGGTCTTTCTGGCCGGTATAGACCGGACTAAGCCCCCGGTCACCTGTGTCATCATGGCCGCTCTGATCCACTACTTCTTTTTGACCTCCGTCTGCTGGGCCTCGGCCGAGGCGCTGAATCTTTTCTACCTGCTTGTCATCACGCGCAGGGGACTGATGACTGGATATCTGTTGAAGATGCTGCTGTTCTGTTGGGGTTAGTTTTAGATTTCCTTATCAATGACATGTGTATCAGTGGCCCTCTTCAAAGTATTGTTGAAGGTTAGGCCTTGGTGTCGGCGAGTCAATAGACTAAGACCATTCTGAACTCGTTCTTCATCAGAAGTGGAGAGTTGCAACAAATCTTGGGTAGAGGTCCATGCCAATACAGGTTCAAAACAAAATTGCAGAACGAAACAACATCGACATTACAGCTTCAAATGCAGACACTTTATAATAGAGCGTTTTTTGTTCTTCATTTTCTGGAAACCTAAGTCGTGAAACATTTTCGAGGTGCGTTTGAAACTAACTGCTATAAAAGCTTTCAGTTATCAACGCGAAGACGCACTTTATTAAGAGGTGAACTTGCAGTTGCAATGTACGCAGTAGAAACTCACAAACTTAAACGGTATTTCTTGTGGTTTATAAGGTATCCCGATGGTGATCGTGGCCTTGACGTTCGTGGTGCCGTATTTGGTCACTGGACAGTGGGAACTCGAGGGCGAATAGTGAGTATAAAAGGGTCCTTATGAGATGAATTTTTCTTAGGAACACATTTTGTGCAGGTATTTCCTCTAGAAATGTGGAAACTATTTGACATCCTTTTTTTGGTTAATTTTATTAAAAAGTGCCCTTCTTTACACGTTTTTTTGTTTCTGTGGACAACTGAGGGCGCTGTTGCTGTGATGTCATGTTCAGTTTAGGGGTTTTCTGTTCAAATGGTGAACCAAAAGTTTGCTCACTTAAAGCATCTGTGAGACAAGTTTGCTCATTGGCCTTTTCCTGTTCACTGACACATTTTCAAGGAATCGCTGAAGAGGAGATTTACGACAGCGAAACCGAAAATCCGGGCAACTTTTGATGCTGAAGTAGCTGTAATATGAGGCTCTGTCTACCTGAGATGACGTCACACTTTAGGTCATGAATACGAAAATTCGCATTAGCACCAAAACCAAAAAATACTCTTGAACACGATAATAGGACATAAGATTAAATCCTTGAAAATGCACCTTTGTGTCCCACAAAGGTGCATTTTCAAGGATTCCATTAAAACGCGTCGATCTTTCATTATAGATTATAATTGTTTCTCTTTTGTGTACCTTATCATCTGTCTCTTTTTATTTATGATGTCACGTTTGAGCAAGGTTTCTATAAATAGAAAATACAGTAGACCTTATAGGTATAACTTGGTAACACATAGTTACATGACACAACGTATAGATTTGATTTGTGCATGAAGATGTCTGACTCTGTAGAAATGAATACTAACTATAGATGGGTTGTATTTTTGTTAATGAGAGCGTGTTCTTACTCGACCTTACTTCAGTCAGATTTGCAAATACGCCCTGTGAAGCATAACCTTCGAGAATTATATATTGGATGGTTAACTTGATACTATCTTGAAGTTAATGTGATCGTCTTAAAGAGTTAGATATTTCACACATTGTATCCGCAAACTTATCCCAGTGTAATAATCTTCCAAAGAAGAGTGATTAAAACACACTGACTGCCTTGCTTCATTATCTAGCTGCTTCTTAACACCTGGCAACGCACTCTACTTCGGCGTCTCCCTCCCAGTTGGTACGATGCTGCTCTTCAACGTCTTCATCTTCATCCTCCTCGTGCGTCGTCTCGTCTGTCAGCGCATCGAGTCCTCAGTAACCCGCCGTGAGACCCACCTAGATGCCTCCATCCGTCACGGTAGACTCATGCTACCCATAAGCCTACTGCTGGGGGCGACTTGGTTAGTCGGGTTCCTGGCGGTTGAGGGGACTACCTACGTCTTCCAGTGGATCTTTGCCGTTCTCAACTCACTCCTTGGCCTGGCTATCTTCCTGCTCTTCATCGTCGGGAAGAAGACGGGGAGGAAAGGGCTTGGGAAGCTGATCTGCGTCGATCAGATCAGGAAGATGACAAGCACCCAGTCATCATCTGTAATCCGTGGAAGCACGCCCCATGGCGTTGGTGTCGCATCAACATAACTGATACAAATGACAAGATATCCACATTGAGACGATTGGATGCAAGACCTGCCCCCTCAAAAACAAAATTTACATTTGGATGAGATCACTATGCAAAGCTTCAAATTGGCAGAAATTGAAAACAAAAACCTACAAGTTCAAGTATTTCATTAATGTGATGCATGAATAATTGTACACTGATATAACTCTGTCTGCAGGTTGACTAGATTATGTTATGTAATCTTGTATAAAGAGTTCTTTTCTTTCGCGTACATATTCACCACTTTATCATTTAATTAGAGTTAGACCAGTCGAACTACCGTATATATCGTAAGTTCGGACTAAAGTAGTAACATTTTATAACTTTTAGCGTTGATATAATGCTTCTGTATTGGTATATAATCCAGTCTTTATTTTGTAAAATTTTAACAGCTTTTATGTTAATGAACAAGTTAACTCGACCAATTATGATCGAGAAAAAGTATAAAGGAGCTTAAACTTGCTTAAAGTTATATATCTTGTATATTTACAGTTAGTTTTTTCGGCATTCTCCGTGGTCTATTACACAAGGACGGATCCAGAACACAATTATGGGGGGGGGGGGAATTTTGGTCCCCAAAAAGTGTGTCCAAAAAAATGACGGCGTGGGGTTCGGTGCCCGCTTAAGGGCCCTGGAAATATTTTGGATTCTAGATGCTCTGTGGTGCGATCTGAGGCAATTTCTGACCACTTTGGCCAATGTTTTTTTAGGAGAAGATGGTGGTGCACTCATTGCCTGCCTTTATTGCGAAGTCACTAAAAAAGAAATTGATTCTTTTTTTTGGGGGGGGGTTGGGGTTGGCCCCCCCCCCCCCTGGACCCGCCCTTGTTAGATCGTAGTTAGAAAGTATCGTATATTTTGTATATCTATAGGCCTACGCTTTCAAGTTCGCGTGAAACGGCACCTCTTCAACACCCCCCCCCCCCCCCGTCATTTCACCCCTCTGGCGTTTTCTGCACACCCTGATTCCGAACTTGAAAAATTAATTCAGCTGATCCACGACAATTAATACATTCATGGGCGTCGCCAGGGTATCCTATAGAGGGGGCAAAGCACATTTCCCCCAAAATCCCTGTATTTTCCAGCAATTATCGATTTATCATTTTTCGGGGGTGGGAATTCGGGGACATTATGCCCACACCAATTAAATTAACAGCCTTATTACTTAGCGCCTCTTTTTATTTATTTTTGTTCCCGTTTCTTCTCTTTTTTTTTGCTTTTCCGGGGGGGGGGGCAATCGCCCCTTGCGCCCCCCCCCCCCCGACGCCAATTCATGTTGCGTGCTATATGATTCACGTGATTGTGGTAAATAAATTGGGATAAAAAGGAAACAATACAAAAAATATAGCAATTTTCAGTATCTCTCTTTTATTATAAAAAGGAAACAGCGTACTGACAATCATGCACCAGGAAAATATTTAATCTGAATTCAGTACACACTGGATTAGTACTGTTTCTTCTTAGTTATTTCAATTATTCATTACGAAAATGGCTTTTAGTTTTAACTCGTTAGCAAATGTATTAGGAGCAGATGCATACAACTGAAATGTATAGAACCAAATTGTCATCAGTATATCACTATTCCATATCGCACCGGCCCTATTTTCTATAACTGAATTAAGATCAAAAGTTAGTTGAAGTTTCTTAATTGCGGTAAAATGTTTTTGTTGAAGAATAAAATTGAATACACTGAAGGCAAACTTATTTGAAGGCTCCCATTGTCCTGATAATTGCCGAGATTTGTATGTTTAAGATGTTTACTTATCCTATTTCAAAACCTTCCGGTTGAGAGGAAATTATTATTGTCGCACTGTTCTTGAGATAGAAAAGACGAAAAATCCGGGGGGGGGGTTGTCTCTGACGTACACAAATGTTTTCTCGCATGTCGGCAGCATGTCGGCTGTGAATGCGATTTCTGAGTCAAAATGTCCACCCGAAATTCGTTCTCACAAGAATAACACAAACTAAAGGATGGTTGTAATTGTGTGGCCGCTTATATCTTGCTTTTAAATTCTCTTTCCATTTAAATGGCTTTTTACGTTTAAAATGCGTTTTGTAGCCCAATAGGGCGTTTTTCAGGACATAGTGTCGCTTCAATGGGGTGAATATAAAATGTTATAGCGGCATGAATGGTCAATACGATCTTCAGTAACACGCAGAAATCAAATTTAAAAGTGTTAGTAGTTAAGCCCAAAACCCTATTATCATAAAGTGTTATTGCTCAGAAGTCGTGGTGGGTTACTGTAGTCTTCAATGACGCCATCCATGCATCAGTGTGGTTATACGTGTAGGAGTTGTCCTGCATGTGAAAAACAAAATATAGCACAGGGGCTTTAAGTTAAGATTATTAACAATGATAACAGTTCTGCGGACATTAAATCTTCATTAGTTACATAACCCATGACGAATTTAATAGGCCCCACCCCAATTACAGAAAAAAAACGTGTGATTGAGATTTTTTCAATGTTAGCTGTATACTTACCTTGTTCCAACTCTGTATCACGTTTAATTAGCTGCAAAGATATAAACAAAAAATAGGCTATAATATTTATTTCTGTTCAGATGCCAATTTTCAGATGCCAATTATTAACACCCGCCCCCCCCCCCCGACATTACATACACTTATTAATAACCAGCATTATACAACGCCTGAATAAGTCCCCGTCATCTGATTGGTGGGTCGTGGATCACGTGCATTGAATAATAATTATTCGTCCCAACGCACGGCGCGACCGCACAGCAAAAAAGTTCCGATGGGTGAAGTTCCATTGCACGGACGGTCACACTCTTGGTGTCTCTGACCAATCAGAAGACGAGGATTTATTCGAAGTTTTGTAAAACAAATAATGAATATTTTACATTCGTGCAATGCATGGAAAGCATAATATCATCCGATTTCGCCGGTTGACGCACACCGTTCTTGTGTGTGACGCACGTACACCAGGGGATTTGTACTACATGTACTACACGCAGCGGCCGCGCTCTTCGCGGCAAATGAATCACAGTCTGGCTGGATCATGGTGTCGGTCGGTCACCCCCAACTTGCCGGTGAGGCCCTACTTGTGAACGGAGCGGATAGCTACGCTTAAATTATGCCTGGATGCCAGATATCATTCTCACTGCATCTGGAAATCATCCATACTGCTCCAGCGTGAGTATCATTTTTAGTCAGAATAGTTAGTGAGGCAGTAGTCACGCCACCAATGAACACATTCAAGAAATAACGGATGGTTTTGGAGGGTTGATGCTGCATCCATTTTTTACATGGTGGCTGTTGGAGGATTTGGAAGGATGGCAGATGGTTCTTAGCCAAACGTGCCTATACAGGGTGATTAAAAATAAACCCCCAGATGTCGGGACTATTGTTTTGGTGAAGTTCTTCATGTAGCACTTTGAAAATCTAGGTTATGACAGCCCAATTCATAAGCTTTCTTTGAGTACAAAAATCATTCAAATCACTCGGGTTTCAAGTTCGGAATTTTAAACACAACCACCGTTTTAAAGTTCTGTCCACAGATCACAGAAAAAGGTGTGCGTTCTTTCAGCAAAACGAAAACAATTCACACACATCCCTTTGTGGTTTGTTTTTGTTTTGCTGAAAGAACACGGAACTTTTTGGTGATCCGTGGACAGAACCTTACAACGGTGGTTGTGTTTAAAATTCCGTAACTTAACAAGTACATGAGTGATTTGAATATTTTTTTTACTAAATGAAAGCTTATGAATTGGGCTTTCATATCCTAGATTTTAAAAGTGCTACATGAAGAACTTCACTAAAACAATTGTCCCGAAATTTGGGTTTCGTTTTTTTTTTACTCACCCTGTAGAGGTTAGCGTTAACGGGCTTTTTTCCCCTCGTTAACAACAGCCGACCTACCTTCGGTGAGTCTTTCCTCTAAAGCACGAATCAGATCTGCCTTCAAGTCATCCAGACTGCGCTTTCCCGCTATTGTAGATAACATTCACAGAATCATGTTATTTGCAATCTTGTCGCTCGACAACTAGTTTGATCGTCATTAACTTTGAATGACTTTATTATGAATTTTGAGTCAAAATTTACATCCCCCCCAAAAAAGAAATCATTGAGAAGTGAGTGTTTAATTTTTTTTTTTTGGCTAATGAAAGGGCCCATGAAGTGAATTTTTTCTGAGGAACATATTTTGTGCATTTTTCTACTCCTCTTAAAATGTATGGAAAATATTTGACATCCCTTTTTGGTGAAGTTGATTAGGAAGTGCCTTCTTTAAACAGCTGTCTCTCGACAACTAGTCCGACCGTCATTAACTTTGAATGACTTTATTCTGAATTTTGAGTCAAAATTTACACCACCCCAATTTTCTATGTTTAACTTTTTTCCGGACAACTGTATGAGGGAACTATAAAATATAAAAGCGAGTGCAGTGATGAATACGCAGCTAAGCTTGGAGGAGACTTATACTTTGATAAAAAACAAGAAATAACCTTGGCTTTTAAGTTAAGGAATCTTTAATAAAACAGTTCAGGAAAAACCAAGACCAGTCTCATGAACTTTCTGGAAATCTCAGGGGTGATAAAAAAATATACAGGGTCAAAAAAAGCGAAACCCAAATGTCGGGACTATTGTTTTATTGAAATTCTGCATGTAGCACTTTCAAAATCTAGGTAATAAAAGTCCAATTCATAAGCTTTCTTTAAGTACAAAACTCATTCAAATCACTCATGTACTTTTCAAGTTGTTGAACTTTAAACACAGGTTCTGTCCACGGATCACAAAACGGTGTGCGTTCTTTCAGCAAAACGAAAACAATTTACACACAAACCTATGTGATTTGTTTTCGTTTTACTGGAAGAACACTTACCTTTTTGTGATCCGTGGACAGCACTTCAAAACGTTTGTTGTGTTTAAAATTCAGTTACTTGAAAAGTACATGAGTGATTTGAATGATGCTTGTACTAAAAGAAAGCTTATGAATTGGGCTTTCATAATCCCAGATTTTGAAAGTGCTACACGCAGAACTCTACTAAAACAACAGTCCAAACATTTGGGTTTCGCTTTTTTTGACTCACCCTGTATGCCAGCCTATAAGAAACTTCAATTTTGAAAATGGGATCGAAGCACTGACCTTTCACAACCGTGACAACGAAAACACACGAGGACACGTTGCCAGCCCCATCAGTCGCTCTATAGCTGACCAAATGCTGCCCGACGCTGAATGGGTTTGGGTTGGGCGGCGACATTTCCACCTTGGGTTGTACGCCAGAGTTGTCAGTGACGATGGCATCCTCCCAGGATACCTGGGCCGAGTCGGAACCAGGTGGCGCACTCACAGTGATATCAGCCGGGCAAAATGTGAAATACGGAGCGATGTAATCAACTATTAAAAGAATAAAGCAGAAACCACGCAATAGGAAACCCCAGAGTTGTAATGACTCGAGTCAATGACTCTACTCGAGTCCGACTCGAGTCACAATTTTGGGTGACTCGACTAGACTCAAGTCCTTAGGGGCAAATGGCTCGACTCGATTTGAGTCTGTGCGAGCAATTGACTCGACTCAACTGAGTCCCTCATCAGAATGACTCGACTCGACTCGAGAGGGCTAATAAGACTCGAGTCTCAAAAATAAAATCAAAACTTTGCGAAACTTTGTTTGCAATGACTTAGGCCTACGCCGGTGCCGGTTTTTGTTCGCGTCACGTTAGAATGTTTGCGAATAATGTATACATATACATGTTTGATCAGTATCCCCATTAGTTGAATGGCGATCAGCTGGCACCCCCTTTTTATTTTCATTAAGAGCAAAAAAGGGGTGTCACCACAGGTAGTAGCCCGAAAGTAACATTAAAAAGCAAAAAAAAATGGACTCTCTCTCTCCTGTGTTTATTAATAGTGTTCAAATATTTGTGACTCCAAATTGACTCGAGCTAAAAACTTGCCTGGACTCGACCACACACTGTGACTCGACTCAACTCGACTCGACCTTCTCGACCTAATGACTCGACTGGACTCGAGTCACTTCTTTAAAATGACTCGATTCGACTCGAGTCACAAAAATCAGTGACTCGTTACAACTCTGGGAAACCCTATATCTGTACATGAATGTTCGGCCGTATACTGCAGTCGACAATCAACTTTTGAATAGAATTATGTAAACGTTGTTATTTCTCAGCCAGTGGATTTGACGACATTATATAATTATTGTTTTAATTGTGTAATAATTGGGTAAAACTAAAAAGGTCAAAGTGCATGACCTATGAACTGTTTTCATGGCCTATGAAAACACTGCATTCATTTTAGGACAGACTCTTTGCTAATTTCGCCTAACAAATTACTGGATAACTAGACAAGTAGAGGTATACATAATTCAGGGTTTTCTTCTTCTTTTTAAATCCAATTCCAGTTAGAAACCCAGTGTAGCTTCCATAGCGATTATCAAGTGAAGAAAAACATTCAGTCTGAACTTGAAATTAAGAAAACACAACTTTTCAGGGATTTCCGCATGCATTGGTGTTGTGTCACAGGAACAAAATACCAGTATTTCCTAGAAAGCACTCAGAGAGCGTTAATCTCCGCCAAGGTTAAACGCTTCCCCGCCATATTGTCAGCACACCCAAATGAAATACTTGCATAAATGGTGAAGAATCCTTAATTCAAAATGCTGGATCCAAATATAATTGATCTGTATACTTGTACCAAGGACCACCCAAAAACAATGTTCATGCGAATCCGTCAATAGCATTTTGATCTTTTGTTAACAGACAAACCAACCAACCCACCAACCAACCAACAAACTAACCAATCCGATGAAAACATAACCTCCTTGTAATGGCGCAGGTAATAAATGGTCAGGATTTAGAATATTCCTGAGAAACAACTCTTCTTGATTACAACCATTGGAACACATGGCACAATGAATTAACCACGGATCCTAGACACCAGGATAAACGACTGTTCTGAGCTCCAGTAATAATAATAATAATAATAATAATAATAATAATGTTGGTTTTTTGCACGACATCTCAAACGGAAATATTCATAAAACTGTAACTAAAACTTCTTATTTAAGATATAATTGTTCCAAATTATTTAAAAAATAAATACTTCAGGATATAACAGATGGTATTGTGCAGTTTTTGTCGTCATAGATGAAGTATTTACCCGGGAAATAAACGTAAAATTTCGAGGAGAACACCGTTTACCCAAATTTTGTTTTTAATGAGGCTTTTTTAAAAAGGTTTTAGAGAGATGTGATGCTGAACCGATGAAACAAAAGCGACATTTCATTGTTCATCTTAAAGCTAAAGATATTGTGCTCGGCATTACCATGGTTTTGTAGTTATCACTTATCAGGATTCAATAATAAAGACCAAAAACGTAGACTCATGAATATTCAAAAATATAATTCGCTGGCTTGACGGACTTCGAGGCCAGATCGGGCGCAGAGCCTTGCAAATCTGAAAGCCACCGCGCGCAGTGGTCTTTGTTGAAAAGTATTCATGGTATTTGCCACCAGTACAGGCCGTTATCACGCGTCTAACCAGGAGTTGGGCCGAGTCGTTTATCCTGGAGTCTAGGATCCGTGATATATTGTATATCGGACTTACCATCACGCTGGGGATACCTTTCCTCCAAAGTACGGATCAGTTCTGCCTTCAAGTCATCCAGGCTGCGCTCCTCCACTTCCCTGGCTAGACAAATCCAAACCAAATTATAAATAATAATAATATCACGGTGTATAACAATATTCTGCTTGTTTTTCTTATATTCGTAAATTCTTTCCACGATGTCTTTTACTTATCAAAAAGTACATGTTTGTGAAAAGTGTAAGAAATAGTTTGTGTAATATGAGCAATGCGTGACGCATTTACCAATTGCCTTCTCGACTTAATCCTTGAAAACATGTTTTCCCATGTTGTTTCTATTCGGAATATGAGTATACAAAAATGTGTGGAAAGAATGTTGCAACCTGACGCCACTTCAGCGGGTGTGAACAAAGTCTATGTAGAGTCAATACAATTTAAGTATTCCCTAACAAAGGTAATCCTTAGCTTTCGGACTTCTATTTATCCTTCTATTTTTACGAAGTATGTTCAAAACTGACTTTTGCAGATGACTGTGCAGTGCCAAAGTGACTTTTGCAGGCTGAAGCAGTTTTTTTATCCTCAGATAAACTCATGTTAGTTGTAATTGTGAAAGCACTTTCAAAGAAAATGTGACTTTTCTACCTTTTTTTGCAGTTCGCCCTCTTGTTTTTTAGTCATTTTCTGTTTGTCATCGTCGTCTCTTACTCCTCATAAATCAAAGCCCTGCCCTCTTTCCACAAAATTAAACCTGCTGATATTCAAGACGGTGTCATTGCCAACAGTTAAAATGTGTCAAGAAATATCAGAATGTCACTTTTGAGTGTCATTTAGTCAGCTGTTTGGTAAGTCTTTTAACCTTATATATGAACGGGGTCCTAAATGTAAGGATTACCCTAACACAATTGGAAATGTCCTATAGATTCATGTCTTATCGTTTTTGCAATGACTGACCCTCATTGATGATATATGAAGGAAAAGGTGGCGTCAGGTTGCACTATTCGAACCAAATGGATCTCATATTGATCAATTCCGGCCTAAAAGTTAAGGCTTTGAACGGATATAGAGATACTCACCGGGGTAGGCATAAGCACCACTGGCAAGGCCGACGAAGACGACAAGAAGAAACACCTTCATTTTGAGCGACTGAGGATTCGTCTGTTTAGGATTAAAGCCCACACATAACACTGGTTAGGCCTACTGATTTCGGTTCGATCGAGTTACAAATAACCGGAAAAAATACCCGACTCCCTTTTGGGTACAACAGAGATAATATCCGTTCGAGAAAAAAAATGAATAATTCACAAAATCAACTATCGCAAACCTTGTTTACTATGAAACTCTCTATGTTATCACTTATCACGAAGATAGACAAGACGCGAGTCCAAAATAATTTATAAGGCCGAGAGCTGTCCGCCGTTACACTGCTTCCGTCTCAACTGCTAAACGAAGCTATGCCAAGCTACCTAAACCACACCCTGTCTGATCGGATCATGAATTATGCTCACCCAAGTGTGGAAACCCTCACAAAGCGTGTCCAATGAGGCAACTGAGTATCATTGGAGCACAATATAAGCCTAACCGACAGCTATTGTTTCTTATGGCCTCGGCCAAAGATAATTGTGCTTAATCCAGGCACAAGGTTCCCCACAAAAAGGTTTATCACAAGGGGGGGGGGGGGGGTGGTAACGGACGTCCGTGCCCCTCGGGTGCCCCGCATATGAAATCTTGAAATAAACAAAAGTATATATCACATCACCTGCCTTCAGGTGTCCCCCGGCCGCCACCTTGAAAACATTGTCCACCCCCCCCCCCTCCCCCAAAGTGTGCCCCCTCAAAATTGTCACCCTAGTAAGACCACTACTTATAAGGGCCCTTTTTTCTGGAGGGGCATATTCAATGTGTTTTTAACGATAAAAAGCTCGTTTTTGATTGCCTGAAAACTCTGTATTTAGGGGGGGGGGGGGGGTAACAAGGGGGCGCAACCTTCCCCAATGTGTCACCCCTTGTTTACGCCCCTGCTTTGGTTCGAAGATGGTGATTCCTTGCAAAGATTGAGTACCGGTGTAGTACACCCCAACTGTGGCAACTGAGCCAATGGCTCATACATAGTTGGGTACTCCCAACAGTTATAGTTTGGCTATAGTGTTATACATGCCTTACTGTATGGTCAAACTATAGTTAGGACTACCCAACTGTGGATGGGCCATAATTGGCGCAGTGGCACAGTTGGGGCATAACACCGGGAATGAGGTTTGATCAGCTGGAAAGATCAGCAACTGATGAGACAAGTATCCCTCTGATCGTCTTGAAACTTCGTGACTTATGAACAATGCTAAAGGTGCACGCCATTAGTGCGTAACAATGGTGCGAGGACGAAGCCGTTCTTGCCCACGAATGGATACCGAATAGAAGGTCACCTACTCTAAGATGGACACAATCGAGTCTGAAAGTGAGAAGACACGCGGCAAGCTTCTATAGACCTCTTGCGCGGCCTGTTATGCCCAGTTTACACTGGGTTGCTCTTTCCCTTGCTATATATTTTGGGCAGAATGATCTCTAACAGTAATCACCCCGTCAACATTCATGTCGGAATTCTATCTTAATTGGTATATTTGATGAAAATAATGATGAAAAATCACTTCGAGATGGGTGAAAACGAATTTCATGTACAACCTTTCACATTCCGGCATTTTTGTTCCTATGGGTCACCTTGTCCGTTTACGTTGCCACATCGCGGACTTTTTGTGAGAACCATAAACAAACGATGCGAAATTTCCCTACCTACAGCCAATGGGTTCTAGATTTAGTCGGGCTGGCTTGAATACACTCCTAATATCACCGGTCATTTTAGATTTGTTTGTAAATACTAATGAGTCTTTCAAGTTTATTCAAAAAATATCTATCCTAAGGGATATTTCAGTCTTCTATTTAAAAGTTTCAGTTTTCACCTAATGAGCGCCATTTTTTATTCCATGTTCAGCCAAGTACACCGATAGTCCACAAATAATTTAAATTTTCGGCAGTGAGAAGTCAATTTTTGGCACGATATTTTCTCTTTCACGTCAGGTGAGTTTCCATAAATTGAGATGCAGGTTGCAATTTTACAAAGGCCCTTTTCGAGGATGGTTATCTTGTTAAGAAATCACTGTACAAAAAATAATAGCAAATGCTGGACATTTTGCACGTTACTTTTCCTATTCAATGGTTCCTGAAGCGGCGGCCACCATGAGGGAACTTTCAGGCTCCATTGGCACAAAGCAATCCCCGAGCGAGCAAACACATGGCGCAGTTTCATTGTGGACACCCCAAGGACTCTCTTATTGGCAATTCATGTAGCTTGATGGCCTCGTTTGGGCATTTCTTTGACCGATTGGTGTTTGTTCCAAGATGGGGATTACGTTGTTTAGATGAATTTTCCGCTTGAAAGATAAGCTCTCGGAGAAGTCAGTACATTTTGTTTGCCTTTTGAGTCACAGTTTTCCCCCTCTGGCTCCTCCCCCGATGAGAAGACCTAAATACAGCGGTCCCAGGGGCGGATCCAGGAATTTGTGCAGGGGGGGGGGTTCATTAGCAAACAGTTATGAAATGCAGACGGGTTTTTTTCTCCGGACACTTGGCCTTCGAAAACCAATAGGTGAGAAGGGGGGAGGGGGAGGAGGGCTCGGCTCGTACCATCCTTTCAATGGGGGCGCTGTTCAAATCAGCAAACAATTATGAAATGCAGACGGTTTTTTTCTCCGGACACTAGGCCTCCGAAAACCAATAGGTAAGGAGGGGGGAGGGGGAGGAGGGCTCGGCTCGTACCATCTTTTCAATGGGGGCGCTGTTCAAATAAGACGATTATTATCACTATTGTTACAAATACATGTACATGTATAGTGTACGAGAATACATCATTAACAGTAAATTAACATCATCATTAACAGTAAATTATTTTGGGTGTCAGCATTATTTTTAATGAATTTCTATGGAATTTTTTTTTTTGACAGAGCTGGGGAGGGGTTTGACCCCCCCCCCCCCCGATCCGTGCCTGGGCCCCGATATTACAGGCGAAAACGGATTACATGTACATGTACATATAGTCCCATCTTCGAGTATTGTCAACCAAGACAGAATCGACTCCGTGAAGGCATTGATAGGCCTGCATGTCATCACCTTCCCTGGCTTTGTGAACAAGACACAATTGGCCCAAACTTTGAATACCCATTAGTGCTAATAAAGATGCAGTTTCTTGAAGCTACTCCCAAGATCTTTGACTCGGATTTCAAAGGACCTGTGACAATTTCTGCCGTTTGGTGGCCTCAGTCGGTGGGGATTTTCTTTCAGATGAGTCGGTTTCTCATCCTCCAAACATAATCTCGACCCAGACAAAAAAGTGGCAAGACTTCACGGTATATTATTACCCTACTACATTGGGGTTGCCATCAAGACAAGTGTTATTGCACTAGCCTACAGTAGCAATTACATGTATATCATGGCATTTTCTATGCTTTATTTTTAAGTCTACTCGCTGCGCTTAAAATGTTAAGCCAACCAAAAACTTCGGCTTTTCATTTCCTATAAAGCCAATAATACAATAACTTCAAAGCAGATACCAACAAATAAAAACCAATCACTCAACATTTTCCCTTTACCGCTTTTATTAAACAAAATATACAGAAGAAACCTACCACCTTAGTAAAAGAATAAGTTCAGTAATTTAATCCGCGATTGACCCAGTTATTATATTCTTCGTTTGATATTTTCTTTAAAAAACATGAAACAATTAAATAGTGTAAAAGTGTCAACCAACTTTGTTGAGATTTTCTATGCATTCCGGGTAAATGTACAAAGTCACTTTGAGAAAGTAGTACAGTCGATCGACTCTCGTTAGTACAAACTCTGTTAATACAAATTCTGGTTATAACAAACATAAAGCCTTGGTCCCGACTGTGCATTTATGTGCACAATGAATGGGACTGACGTTCCTCTTAATACAAAATTCTGATATAACAAACAATTTGGCTAGGTCCGAACGAGTTTGTATTAACGAGACTCGACTGTACATCAACTTCACGTTTATTTCTTGTAACATATAGGTTTGTCTACTGAGAGGGAAAAAAGTACCCAATATTGTTTGTAGTTACAAAACACTTGCAGTTTGCTTGGGAAACAGTTTGCTGAGCCAATATAACGAATACTTTAAAAGCAGAATGATTTTGGTGGATTATTTCTTACAGAGTAGAAAGTTCGCTGCTTCTGATATGTTCAGTAAAAATTGATATTTAACCGCTTGTACATGGACTTAGCCAATTTGTGTTTAACCAAATAAAATAAAAAAAAAATCAATCCAGTTTAGTGATTCGGGGTCGGTGACCAGTCTTGGAAGACGTCATCGGCGACAGGAGCAGGATTGCTAATAGTCCTGCAAAACAGACGACAAAAGGGGAGGGGTGTTAATTGGTCTGATAGTCTCGCGTAATGTTATTTGTATTAGCGTATACATGTACATGTAATTAATCTGTCATGTGAAACTTGCAAATTAACAAAAACCTTATGACTGTAAATGGAGACCAATGAACAAGATTAGTTCTCCGCAAAAATAATGAGCTTTGCAAGCATTTCCGACCTATGACAATTTTTTGAGGCCTTGATCCGTTGAGTTTGTGAATGAATTGATTTGTCTTATTAACTTACCGGCTTCTCCTCCTCAAATTCGCGCTTATCTGCAAAGATTATGAATGAGAAATATTATTTAATATCAGACAGGACATTTTATCCTTTTACTCCAAAGAGCATCGGAGCGATTGTGTCTACAAAGTCTTTGTAGAGTCAAGAACATTTTCCAAATATTTTTTTCTCGGTCCCAGATTCATGTCCTGACTGACCTTCATATGAAGACAAAAGTGGCGTAAGGATGCAAAATATTCTTTCCTTAAAGCCAGTAATTGGGGCTCATAAAAAAAATTGTTTCAATGCATTTCAATGCAGTTTTGTGTCCAATTGTAATATATTTTGCAATTTTTCAAAAGTGTTTTGGTGACTGTTTGTTTTTTTACGCTGATGCGAATTAAAAGTCTTTTCTACCACACTTTTGAGGTCAGCATTGTACCAGTGTCTTTGCAAATTGCAATTATAAGAGAAAGGCACAATCTAAGATGCTGTTTTTTTTGCTACTGCAAGTTTAAAATGGTTGAAATTGTATCGGGTTTCACAAAAGGTGCGGTCGTTTGTAATGTAACTTCGCATAACTTACTCTCGCCAAGTTTGCCCTCCAATGCACGGGTCAGTGCCGCTTTCAGGTCATCCAGGCTGCGCTGCTCGGCTAAATAACGAAAGAGATAATAAGCATTCGTTGCTAATTGAAACAAAATGTTCCTTGATCTAAATGGGTTCTTTCATGATTTTACTTATTTTTCCTAATTTCATATTTTCAACTTTTAATTGGAAATCGATTGACAGTGCGCCATTCCTTCATCAAAATCACGAGTGGATCAACT